CGTTAATGTCACACTTGTGCCGAGTACGGCCATAATAGTCGTACCTGCCCGATGCGCAAAGATAAAATTTAAGAATGATTTTGCATCTGAATTATTATTTTATTCTAGTCTTAGTACTTTCGTTTTTTTTTTTCAACTGTTTTTTTTTCATGCGCTGGGACTATTTTCGGTTGTTTTAGTTTTGTCTTTAATTTTCTTTTTTGCCCAATCTACTATCACAACGTCGCACAAAATTAACTGGGTAGTTTAACTGTCTTGCACATTGGAATCTTCTATGGTGGCACATCCTACGTCAGCCTTTAAAAAAAAAAAAAAAAAAAAAAAAAAAAAAAAAAAAAAAAACAAGATCTTGTTTACGTTGTTAGGTGCTTATATTAAAATTGCAGCTATATAAACGTTTACGTTTCACATTCCGGTCATACTAATTCTTAATATTTTGCACAAGTATTTCCTGGTTAGTTTAACATACTTGCACAATGTGATCCATTGTGGTTGCACATCCTAGCCCCCTCTCAATTTCAACATAACTAAGTTATAGTCCACATCCTAATGCTCAATTGTTAGGTTTTTATATTAAAATTGCATTTACATTATTACTTAGGTTGCACAGATTGTTCTCTCAAGTTCGTTAACATTTGCACCGCTAATTAATTCCTCCTTGCACAACTTCTTAACGGTTTGATAACCATTTCTCCAACCTTTGATTTCTATCGGCTACACTTAAAATTGCATTTTTAATAACATCACCATTGCACATACCAGTTCTGGGGGATTTGCCGTGTTTGCACATTGTCCTACACCACACTTGCACGAATCCTAAAGAATGAATATCTATTCCTCGTTTATAGAATTTTACACACGTGCAAATTCGAATTTGTATTAAGCCTCAGTCATTAGGCAACATCATGTTTCTGTTCGTAGTTTTGCCACTGCCTGTCAGTAACATTAATCCTACAACTTTAATAGCTAAAATAAATTAATGCACATTAAATTGAATAAATAGAAACCACCATGTTGCACAAGTCTCTTCTGAAAATTTATCCATTTTCGCACATTGGTCTACGTCACTGATTCATTACTTCTAAACCGTGATTAGGCATTTCACGAAACTTTAACAAAAAATAATTACTAGCAAATTTAAATTGTCTAGTAGCATGTTACATTGCGTTCTTCGTGCCTCTTGAAGTCATCAAAAACTAATGTCACAAGTCGTTTCAAACCACTTAACTCACTTCTATTGCACCCACGTCCTCGTTCCTGGTTATTAACAATCCATGTCAAATATAATTCAAATCATTACCCAATATGTTATAATCACTTTGTAATTAATCTTTCTTACAAATCAGGATTGTCAGACTGTATTAACCACTTTTTCACGTACTGTGGTGTTGGTGAGTACCACTTGGATATTCTTTACTATTGCATTATTAATAATAATTTCATCTTAAAAAGTTTTACCTTAACCGGATCATCTTCTTCGTCTTCTTGGTTGCCTTTCCTAGGTTCCTCTTCTGCAGCATTTCTTCCATCCTAGTGTCATCACGTACGGGGAAAGTGTGTTAATTTTTCTGCATTACTTAAATGTGCACTGCCAAATGTGCCCCTTGTGCATCCAGAAACTCATTATTTCTATATCCTATAATCCACTCATACTCACCTCATTCACCAGATTACTTATATTCATGTGCACACTACATCAGATTACATTTTCACAAAAACTCTATCTACATCTGTCAGTTTGTGCTCCCCCATTTTTTGTTCCCACTTTGTGCAGCCCTCTGTTTAAGGTTGTTTGTTCTCCTTTTATATTGTCTTCTCTTCCCGAGTTACATCATTATCGTTTTTCCACTTATTAAAAAACCTCAAAGTTAGTATAGATTTAGTTTTATGTCCTACGTAGTCTCACACGCCATCACTTACACTCCACTAATACTACCCCTATTTTTTTTTTGTCTGTTATTACACCAATACAGACCTCCCCCAATTTTTTTAAAAGCAAACAAACAAAAACAAAAGACAAAAAAAAAAAAAAAAACCATTCATCAATTCGTCATTCACACATCTCTTCCCAAAATCCACCCCATCTTTCCCAGCTTCAATTTTTCGTCCTCACACACCCCTCGGCACTCCACCAGAAAGAAAGATAGTCTTGGCCTTCACCACCCATTTACGACCAATTCTAATAAAAATCAAATACTACAAAAAATCACTGAATAGAAAAAGAAAATCACACAATTGCAAAGTCTACAAACATGCAATTTCATAAACATTGAATACCATTTTGCAGGAAATCAATCAAAATAAAAAACATTATCACAAAAATAATCAACTAAATCAAGGTTTTGCTTACGGAGTCTACTCGTCGCTTCAATGGATGCACGTCGCTGGCTTCCTCTTGGTGTTCTGTCGCCCATAGTTCCGGGTTCTGTATCAGCCGCGTAGTTTGTGCGATTTGTACTCTCTGAGCCGATTGTGCAATGCGGACAGCTCCCCTTGAATTCCATCGTTTAAACCCTAGTCGAATAGTCCCGATGCTTTCGCTCCTTCCATTCTTGCCGTGCACAGACAATATTCCATTTACCCTTTTACCCCCCAAATTAATTGCTTCATCCGTTACTTCTCTGTTTTACTGGCCTTTTACTTTCTCTTATTGTGCAATCTAGTCCGTTAGATTGTCTCATCCAATGATTGTCATTAGACCTCAATCCTCACCTAAGCCATTAGCCACACTTGAACCTCACCCTATATATATATATATATATATATATATATATATATATATATATATATATATATATATATATATATATATATATATATATATATATATATATATATACTCCATATCAGATTTTTGTGTAATAGTCCATAAATCATATAAAAAGAAACATATTCTCTCTCCCTTCTAGGGTTTCTTCTTCGACATAACGCAGTGCTTCGGCGGCAGTAGCAACGCCTGATTTTCCGACTACCATGGCAACGACAGCAACACAGCACGGTGATGAGGGCGTGGAGCAATTGTCTGACCGCTGGGCGGACATCACGCTGGAGGACGAGGAAATTGGCGTGGAGGCGGACGGACCTTATTTACCGCCGGAAGGGGATGATTTGCAGGTGTTCTCTGTGGTAGGGCGTTTTCTAACAGCAAAGATGATCAAAGTAGAGTATATGCGACAGGTAATACCATCCGTATGGCAGCCAGTGATGGGGATGCGGGTAACTGAGATGCACTCTAATTTGTTTCTGTTTGCGTTTTATCATGAGACTGATATGAAACGTGTTTTGGAGGATGGACCATGGTCGTTTGACAATCATACGCTAGTATGCCGGCAGGTTTGTGATGGTTACCTCCCAGGGGAAGTCAAGTTAGATACACTAGATATGTGGATTCAGGTATATGATTTGCCTATGGGATATACTTCTAATCAAATTCTGGAGCAGGTTGGAAACTTTGTTGGAACATTTATCAAGTGTAATGAGCGCAAGGTGGGGGGGGGGGGCATTGAAAAAAATTCTATCGCGTGCGTGTGACGGTCCCGGTAGACAAACCGCTCAAACGGCGGATGAAATTGATGCGTAGGGATAAGTCATGGGGCTGGGTAAACCTAAAATATGAACGACTCCATAATTTTTGTTACTGTTGTGGTATGCTGGGTCATCTGGAAAAATTCTGCAGAACAGCTCGTCTATCAGGGATTAAGCCTGAGTTTTACCCGTATGGTGCATGGATGAGGGCGGGGCAGTCCAAGGGCCCACGGCCGGTTGGAGCGACGTGGTTGTTACCGCCTGAGGGAAAGCCGATAAGGCCGAATGTGGTACAGGCTGGTGGAGGGGATACGGCGGTGCGGGCAGACCGTGGGGTGGGGGGAGTGACTGATGACGTTGTTATGACTCAAACGGAAGATGAATTGGAGGAGGGTGTACTAGCTTCTTCCAAACGTCGCCGTGCGGCCGAGGATGGGGATAGTAGTGAGGTGACACCGAATAATGGAGAAGCAACTGACAATGATGTGTCAAAAAACTTGTTTGTGGCGGGTCTTGGCTCTCAAACCCGCCAGATCCAATGAGTACTCTAAGTTGGAACTGTCGTGGATTGGGCGACCCACGTACAGTTCGCGAGATAGTGGATATGGCGTCCTGCAACAGGCCTATTTTTATTTACCTCATGGAAACAAAGGTGGATCAAAGTCATGCAGAGCGTATTCGTGTTACACTAGGGTTTGATGGATTGTTCTATGTTGATCCGGTTGGTCTAAGTGGTGGTTTAGCTTTATTATGGAGGAAGAATAACACGGCAAGACTTATCAAATATTCAAAGAATCATATTGATGTGGAAGTGAGTATGATGGGTTTCCCTAAGTGGAGGATGACATGTTATTATGGCTATCCACAACGGCATAGGCGCACTAAAGCGTGGGATTTCATTAAATCACTGGCACCCCAGTCTGATCTGCCATGGGTTATGATTGAGGATTTTAATGATCTCTTATTCTACTATGAGAAGAGAGGTGGAAATCCACACCCGGATAGACTGCTACGGGGATTTGGGGAGACTATTGAGTATTGCGGCTTATCTCAGTTACCAATGAATGGGTATCAGTTTACCTGGGAAAAGGGAAAGGGCACATCTCGGTGGATTGAGGAAAAGTTGGATAAAGTATTAGCTACCGATGCGTGGCGTGATATTGTCACTAGAGCTAGGGTGACTAATATCCTAATGAGAAGGTCTGATCATTCTGTCCTCTTTATGGGAATACACGACCCTATGGGGAGGGGGAGATTACAGAGAAAGTTCCGTTTTGAAATGGCTTGGCTGCATGATGAAGGGTGCAGGACTGTGGTGGAGGAGTCTTGGGGAGAAGGGAGGAACGGTGGTTTGCAGGAGTGTATTGTGCATTGTGGTGACCGGTTGGCTCGCTGGGGGGGGGGGTGATCGGTATCATAAGTTTGGTGAGTGAATAGAGCAGCTTCGCAAGGAACAGTTATATCTGAAGGGGCGCATGGACCCAGTATCATTAGCTGAGTTCCACCGCCTGGAGGAGGCTCTATGCCGAGTTGAGGCCCAAAAAGATGCATACTGGAAACAGAGAGCCAAACAGCACTGGTTAAAGGCTGCCGACGCCAATACGAAATTCTATCACAGGTACGCCTCTAATCGCAAAAGGAAAAATAATTTATCTAAAATTATGAATGGTGATGGGGACTGGGTGGAAGGTGATGGTATGAGAAAGATTGTCCAGGATTATTTTGCAAATATCTTCTGTACTAGTAATCCTGCTAGTGGTGCTGAATTATTTGAAAAGGTTATGCCCAAAGTTACACCTTTACAAAACGAATTACCTCTACAACCTTTTAGTGTGGATGAGGTTAGGGAAGCTCTTTTTGCAATGTTCCCAGATAAAGCGCCAGGGCCGGATGGAATGAATCCAGGATTTTACCAGCATTTTTGGGATGTGGTAGGCGTGGATCTCTCGGAATTTATTGTTGATTGTCTAAATGCCCGAAATTTCCCTGCTACATTGAATGAAACGAATGTTGTATTGATCCCAAAAAAATGTACGCCTGAGCGGGTCACGGATTTGAGACCAATAGCCCTGAGTAACGTGGTTTATAGAATAATGGCTAAAATGATTACACAAAGGATGAAAGCCTCTGATGGAGAGTGTTATATCTTAGTCACAGAGTGCGTTTATACCTGATAGGCTCATCACTGATAATATCTTGATAGCAGCGGAGGTTGGTCATTATCTGAGTAGGAAGCAGTGTGGGGTGGTAGGATGGGGAGCTCTCAAGTTGGATAAGGCAAAGGCCTATGATCGTATGGAGTGGCCATTTTTACAAGGAATGTTAAAGGCCTTGGACTTTGATGAGAGATGGATAGAGCTTATAATGTTATGTGTGACTACTGTGTCATACAGGATCTTGGTAAATGGTTCCCCCAGTGAACTGATCATACCTACCCAGGGACTCAGGCAAGGTGACCCATTGTCTCCCTATCTATTTATTATATGTGCGGAAGGGCTATCTGTTTTGTTACAGCAGGCACATGATGATGGTTTAATACATGGTTGCAGAGTTGCGCGTGGCGCACCCCCAATTTCCCATTTATTTTTTGCTGATGCTAGCCTGTTATTTTTAAAGGCAAACCCACAGGAGGCTACTCAGGTGAAGAGTTACTTGGCAACTTATGAGAGATTGTCTCGACAAATGGTGAATTACCACAAATCTAGTATCTGTTATAGTAAGAACACAAGTTAGGAATATAGGGATGTGGTGGCGCATATTTTAGGGGTAGACCAGGTTCCTAATTTTGGCAAATACTTGGGATTGCCACCATTTGTGGAGAGGAATAAGAAGGCGGCCTTTGCATATATTGAAGACAAAATCCGACAGAGAATTGGGTCGTGGAGTAAAAATTTCTCTCACAGACAGGAAAGGAAGTCTTGTTGAAAAGTGTGGCTCAAGCTATGCCAACTTTTCCAATGAGTGTCTTTTTGTTGCCTATATCTGTGTGCACAGCAATTGAACGGGTTATGAATCGCTACTGGTGGGGCTCAGGGACTGACCGTAGTATTCACTGGAAGGCATGGGATAAATTGTGTATTCCTAAACAGTATGGAAGCCTGGGTTTCAAAGATCTGAAGGCATTTAATTTGGCAATGTTGGGTAAACAGACATGGAGATTGTTGACCAACACTGATTCACTTGTCTCTTAAGTATACAAAGCCAGATATTATCCTAAAAGTTCATTTTATGAAGCAGAGATTGGAAATAATGCAGGTTATTGTTGGCGGAGTATTATGGCTGCTAAAGCATTGATAACAAATGGAGTAAGACGTCGTATTGGAGATGGAAAGTCTACCTTAATATGGGAACATCCCTGGCTTCAGGATGAGCTAGAACCAAGGATCCAAACGGAAATGCCACCTCAGCTAGCTGGTGCAAAGGTTGTGGGATTAATTGATCAAAATACTGGTACATGGGATCCTCACATTTTAACAGACATTTTCCACCCAGATGATATACCAAGAAATTTTAAACATCCCGGTCTCACCAGGATATGAGGATATATGGTATTGGTACGGGGACTCAAATGGATGCTACTCAGTAAAGAATGGATACAGGCAAATGGTGGGAACTTATGAGAATAATACTGGTTTTGATAAGTGGCGAACCCTATGGAATTTGAAAATCCCCCATAAATGGAAGACCTTTCTATGGAGAGCTATAGGTGACATTCTCCCTACTACCACCAATTTGCTTATAAAGATGGTGGATGTTAGCCCAATTTGTGCCATGTGTGGAGTTATGAATGAGAACACAATGCATGCCCTAGTGTTGTGTGACTATGCTAGGTCCATTTGGGATCAATCTAATCTTCCACTCCCCCATATTGTAATGAATATTTTTCAGGAATGGTTTAGAATAATCCTAAATGTTCTAGATGCTAATGGGATATTGTTTGCAGCTGGAATATTATACAATATTTGGAGAGCCCGGAACGATGCCGTTTGGAATGCATGTCTGCCAAGACCAAAGAAGATTATCGCTACGGCCATAACCTCCGTGCATGCGTGGCAGCGTGTGAGCTCGGCCACCCCCTCATAGCCGATCGGCCTCACGGTTACCGTCCAGGTGCCACCAACGGCAGAACACCAGGCTACCCTCATTGCCCAAATGCAACCGGCGCTGCCACCTTCTCCCATTGCCGCGACTAGAACGGAAGCAGTGCCACAGATGCGGGGTTTCGGCCTCTCTTGAAGACCGCCACAGTTGGAGCAGTGCTATTTGATGCGTATGGTGGATATGTCTCAGCCTATGCCGCGCCCTTACAAGCCTGTCTTTCACCACTTATGGCCGAGGCGCGTGCGTGCAAGGAAGTTTTATCGTGGTTCAGGACACGTGGCGAACTGTCAGTTGAGTTATTCACGGATTGCCAGACGCTTCAGGCATATTTGACTACTTCGGCAATCCAATTTAGATCCTACCTTGGTTATGTCCTCGATGACTGTAGGTCTACTATGACTATGTTTACATTTTGCTCAGTTAATTTTATTCCTAGATCACATAATTATTTAGCGCATATGTTAGCAGCTGAGGCCTTTAATCACGATATGACTATGTACTGGGATGATATCCCACCTGCAATTTTGACTTACTTATAAGTATAACCATATTGGTTGTTTTTCAAAAAAAAAATATAAAAAGAAACATAAACTACACTATAATCTTTAAAAAACGAATGTTTTACCCACTCTTTGCATTTAATGTGATATTTATAGCGGGGGAAAGGGACCATCCACCAGGGGTGCGGTCAGGTTAAAGGCAGTAAACTAGACTTAAATTCTCAAGTAACCTTGCTTGGGATGACCGTCCCAACCTAAATGGATCAAAATCAATCTAAGAGCAGTGAATTGCCCCTGCAGTCTCCAACTAGTTCGACTAGTGCATTTAGGTCAGCACGACCGTGACCAAGGTCGGGAACAATCCTCTCGACGATTCAACCGGATACCGAGTATGGATGTTCTTTCCACTCAATTACTCTCTTCGAAATTTCTTATGTGGTTCCTAGGTTGTGGACGGTGAACCCTTGATGTTGGTTGAAGAATATAATAAAGGCAGTTCAACGACGTGAAGTTTGAAGTTGAAGGCATCAGATCAGATGTTGAAATCTTCCACAGTTGTTTCAATTCATGTTGAGAATCTTTGCCAAAAACAAATGTAGTTGTGGAGGATCGGACGGTTCACATTGTCCCGTTTGAATTGTTTGGTGGAATGAATGGGGAAGAATCTTCTAGAGGCTGCTCTTTATTTATGTATGTGTACACACATTTGAGGGAATTTTGATTAATTCACTTTAATTACATTCATTCTCCTCTCAAAATGTTGAATTCCCAACGCCAAGAGGCCCCACATTCCAGTCTGATAGAGTATTTAGAATAATGTAAATTACGATGACTCAATGGTTCAAACAAAACCAAATATCAGTATGTACAAGAAATATGTTCACTTTTGACATAATCCCCACACTGCTGCCACCTAAGCATTTCTCGCGGCGCGAATGTTTTGATAGGGAAATTAAATGCCTCAATAGTTTATAAAAGATATACGAGATCAATTGTAAAAGCATCTCAAAATAAGTTTTAAATCATTGTATTAAATTTTTCTATTCTATAGTTGTAATTTTCCTATCAAATAGCTTGTAGATCAATATTATCTTTGTAGTTCAAATGGAAGGTCACAAGTTTAAATTTGGGCATTGACTCTTGGTGTTTTAATTTTAAGAGAGGCGTATTCAATCCTGATTTTTGTTGACTTTTAAAATGATAGATTTTAATAAACTTTTATTAACTTTCATAAAATCGTTCAAAACTTTTTAAAACTTTGTAAGACTCTATAAAAGTCTTTATAAAAAAACATTTATAAACTTTTATCAATTTTTTTTTTAAAAGTCTACAAAAGTCATTCAAATTCTAAATTGAATACATCATTACAAACTTTCAATGATTTTGATTCTTATGATTTATAATTTTCTTAGAAAACATGTTATAATATATCATAAATTTTTTTGTATTATATATATATTTTTAGTACACTTATTATATAGTTCTTCACACACATCACAATATAATTACTAGTGGCATAAAATAAAAATTAAAATAAAATAAAATATTAATAATATTAATATATATATATATATTACGAATATAAACATAAAAAGAATAAAAATAAAAATATACAAGTATTTATATGAATATTATGAAACATATAGTAAAATTTGACAGTGATAGATGAAAAATTTGCTTTGTCCTTATATTTAGGGAGAAAAAATTCATAGAGAAAGTTTTGAAGTTAGCTTTCTTTTTGGCAGACTCCTCTTCTTGTTCTATTGATAAAAAGTTTGTAGCAAAAAAAATAAAAAATCATAATATACAAGCAATAATGAAAGTAAAAATATTATTATTTTGAATTTTTAGAGGATGATTGTAAAGTTTAGGGAAAAAAAATTGATAGAGTTTAGGTATGAAGAAAAGGATAATGAAAAAAATAATAATTTATTGAATTTAGGTATAAGGTTTTTAAAGTTTAAATATGGAGAAACAAATAGAGATAAAACCTTCATAATTAGTAGAAAGAAAATTTTGAAATTTTGGGTTGAGGGTTGTAAGTCAACTATTTATATTTGAGAATGAAAAATTTATAAAAATCTTAAAATTAAAAAGTCTACACAAATTCATAACTTTTTAAATACCATCAAACTTTTAAAAACTTTTTAAAAATCTTGATTGAACACCGCACTTTTAAAGACTCTTTAAAAATTTGAATTAAATACCTCCAAACTTTTAAAGTTCGTATTTAAAAGATTTATAAAAATCATAATTAAATATATTCACTAATTTTGATTACTATTTATTGATTTTCTCATTTTAAGTTGATTTTCTTGTGATTCTTTATTAAAAATTACGGAGTATTACTTTTCAAACTAACCAAAGCCATTATGCAAATGCAAATCCACATAGTGCCAAAAGCACAGAAATTACAGCCCTATGAAACTAGGAAAAAGCCTACCGATACCAACATCGTAATTGTAAAACAATTTTTTTTTTTTTTTGGTGAAAATTGAAAAAAAAAAAAAAAATCCATTACTAGTAGGGTGTGAGCGGCAAATTATATTATGCACCGCGGTGCATAATCGATTATGCACCGCGCGTCTTTTTTTTTTTAAATGAAAATTAACAGTGTTTATTTCCGCCGTTTCGTACCCTTTTGCAAAAAGTAACTCTGTTATTCAGTGTCATTTTGTATACACTGCAGTTTCAGTTGAACACAACTACAGTTTCATTTCGATATAACTATAGTTTCATTCGATATTTATAGACTCAAATATGTGAAAATGTTATTTAATTTTATTTTATATACACTATAGTTTTATTAAAACACAACTACATGATCATTTTGATATAATTACAGCTTCATTGTACAATATACACTCAAATATGTGAAATGTTATTCAGTTTCAGTTTATATACACTGTAGTTTCATTTCACTATAACTACAGTATCATTTTGATATAACTGCAGTGTCGGTTTGGATAGACTGTAGTATCAGTTGGTGTTTAATACACCAAACAAACGGACTCCGTTAACTCTAACGGCGGGCCATTTCTTTACTTAAAGAAACGGCGCCGTATATGGGCCGCGGTGCATAATCGATTATGCACCGCGGTCTATAATATAACAACTGGGTGTGAGCATTTCGGGTTTCGATTTGGTTTTTTTTTTGGGTTTCGATTTGGTTTTTTCGGTTTCAGCTTTTTCGGTTTTAAAAAAGTTAAACCATTCGGTTTAATATTAGAGTTCGATTCGGTTTCGGTTCAGATTTAATTCGGTTCGGTTTAAGGTCCCCAAATTTCAACATTTTCTATTTTTTCGAACATACTACCAAACAATACATATTCACATAATCCAAATTCAAACTTTAAACATTATATAACAAAATAGCAATCCAAAGTTCAAACACAATACTAAGTACTAATTACCAAACATCAGTTAACGTTTTTGCACAACCGACTCTTCAGTTGGTTCAGTTGGAATATTTTTATTGATAAGATGAATAATCATCTATCTGTATAGTTGATATTAAAAGAACTAGCGTCAATTACTATATAGTTAATTTTTGGACACAATCTATCATTGCTAGTGCACTCGAAATATATTCCAGTACTAGAAAATAATTATAGTGCACTGGAAATCAAAATTAGAATGACTGTAAAACACAGTAAATTTATAGAAAAACATGAAACTAAGGAAAATACTGAATATTGTAAATATAACTCAAGTTAGATATAATTGTGAGGTAAATAGCAATTGCGACAAACAACAAAAGTGCAATGTAGAAAACAAGTTATAAAGAAATCAAATAAAAAATATAAGGTTCTTTACCAGTAAGAATGAGAACTGAACGGCGGAGCAGACATCAAGGAACTTGGATTTACTTCTTTTTTATTATTATTATTATTATTATTATTATTATTATTATTATTATTATTATTTATTAAAAAATTATATAACATTCAGTTCGGTTCGATTTTTGCCAAACCGTTCGGTTTCTGTTCAGTATTAAACCGTTCGAGTTACAAAATTTCGAACCATTCAATTTTCTATTACTAGTTCGGTTCGGTTCCCGAACCGAAGTGCCCACCCCTAATTATTAGTACTGTTTTCGTTTAGATTTGGTTGTGACAGACAGCTGAAATCTGACACATTAACCTAGTTCGAATTCGATTTTGAAAATGTTTTGACACAAAATAAATAAATAAATTTATGATTAAAAATTTATTAAAATTTGTAAGTATTTAATTAGTTAATCGATTTTTTAGTTTCTTTTTAGAAAAAAAATTATAATAAAATATTTAAATTTATTGATATTTAATATGTTACTAAATTTGTTGATATTTTATTATTTTCTTATAATAAAATTCAATTGCAGAGTATTTGCATCTTGAAATATTTGTTTTTTAAGTACTGTTGATCATATTACATGTAGTATTATTTACATATATTTTTTCAAAGTACTAAAGTTCAACGAGTCAATACTTACCCCAAAAGGCTGAATCCCCAACCCTAAGGGTCCCCACACTCCGACTTGACAGAATATGTGGAAGGATGTGCATGACGTTTGACCACAAGGTCTTTCCTGTACGATTCACTTCTCATGTGATTTTACAGGTTAAGTTTACCTGTACACTCTCAAAACAGTGACTATGACTTTCTTTTATCACCAAAGAAGAAGAAGATTATTTTAGCCTCCAGGTAAAAATCTTGCCACATATATTAATTTTATTGAAATAAGAAAAGAAAATTAATAAAAATTATAATCAATTTTTGAATCAATCAAAACATATCATATCATATTAATTGAAAGTAAAAATTAAAAAGTAAATATACAAAGTATATGTCTCACGAGCTGACGAGCTCAATTGATTAGATTTTTTACTCTAAAATCTTCTCCAATTGACTTGTGGGGATTCACAAAGAAAAATACTACCTGACTATATGTACTCCTAACTAGTTTATATTAGCTTAGTTATATAACATGCCTTTGTTTGGTTGAGGTTATACAATATTCCCTTGAAATCCAATATCACCTCCACATCAGATTTTTTTTCTTTTTATAAGGAAATGTGATTCCATTGTCAATCTTAGGTTATCTTGGATTCCCTTGGCCATTTTACATTGTTTGCCCTTTGTATCACCTCCAACATTTTAGGGGTCGTTTGGTTCACGGAATGTCAAATTACCTTAGGGAATGTTAGATTGCTGGGAATGTTAGATTCCTGTGTTTGGTTAAAATTGGGGTATGTAATATAATCATGTTTGGTTTAGGGTTATCTTTTATACACATTATAATATCCTTAACATATTTTCATATATTTTAATAAATTTAAAAATTAAAATAAATAAATAAGATAACGGTATCATATATAATTACATGATTTTAAAATATTAACTAAAATCTTGAACTTGAGAAACAAAATTATTTTATATGCTAACATAACATAATAAAAATAAAAATATATATAATTACAAAAATAATTATATATATATATATATATATATATATATATATATATATATATATATATAATAAACTAACATAACCAAGGTTATCTTACATTACCTAAGATTTTGAAGGGAATCACATTCCCTTCAAAATCCTATGTGGAGGGAATGTGACATTCCTGGGGAATGTTAGATTCTCTGAGATAATGTGAACCAAACATAGGAATGTGAGCTTTGGAATGTCAGATTCCCTTGGTTATGTTATATAACTTGAACCAAACGCCCCGTTTGTAAGGTGATTTGCAATAAGAGGGTATTAAGGTAAAATAACCATTATAACACAATCAATAATTCATCAACCAAACATGTTTATATCACATAACTCTATTTTTACCAAACACAGTAATCTAACATTCCCTAAGGTAATATGACAATCCATGAACCAAACGACCCCTAAAAGCTTACTTCCAACTTTTATTTCTATTTATGTTCAAATTTAATTGAAGAAAGAAATAAAAAAATAGATAAACATCATAAACCTTATAAAATTAAGCAATCAAAGCATGCTAAATCATAAGAGCAAAAGTTGTATTAGTAGTCAATCTTCAACTTTTTTACACATACTTTTTTAGGCGAATGATTTCGCTTGGAAGCCTCCAACAGTCGCCTGTCGCTACTGATATATATTGCGTGTTTTAGAGTTTATGTATACAAGCAAGCATTCATACCAATCATATATTATTTGATTTGACTTCTTCTCTGTTTTCACTGGAAGCCTCACCACTTGCTTCCCTTTCAAAATCTTTATCCCAAAACTCACACATATATATAGAGAGAGAAATAAATGTGTGAAAAAAGATGGGGAAGTGCTTCAATGGGCTTGCGTTCTTCATTTCCTCTCTATCTCTCTATAAAGATTAGATTTTTAATCTCTGGGCAAAAGGCGATCACCTTTTTCTGTTGATATATATCAGTTTCTGTTAGTTCTTCATTTTTTTTCCCAAATATTTTGGGGGTTTTTTCTCTCCGGGAGAGATGGGGGCATGCGTTTCAAGACCGGAGAGCTGTGTAGGCGGCAAGTTTGGAGCTCAAAAGAGGAAGAAATTCAGGAAGAGAAGAAGGATCACTGCTATCAAGAATAGGGCAACTTCTTCACGTTCATCTGATCGTTCTAGTGATCAACTTGAAAATGCTTTCCCTTCCGATGGCTCCTTCAACAATCCCAGCCTTTATGGTATGATTTTTTCTTGCTTGTATAGTTGTATGTATATCTGTATGTGTTTTTTGTATAACGAGCGAAATTCGTAGTCATTATTCGTGTGCATGGATAAATCTAGTCCTATGACCCTAGCCGGTCATAGCCGACGGAGTACAAGAACCTAAGTTACCTATAGTTGACTGGTTCGAGTCAAACTTAGAACCTTTAAGTTAGGAATTGAACCAACAACCTGACCAATTTGATTGGATTGTCCTAATGTGTTTTGTGAGTGTTAGGAGCTTTGAAATCTGTATTTATGAATTGAATGATGTGTTTTGTCTCGACTGAATTACAATACCTCATTGAATATTTGAGTGCTTGCAAGGATAAACTTTGCTTTGTAACCCTAGACGGCAAAGATTCATAAGGGGTAAACCAGTCTACATTGTCCATAGTTAACTAGATTTTGTGACCATGGCTAGCAAAGGACCAGAAGAGGAGGTAAATCAGTCTATGTTTCTCATAACGGTCTGTCTCAAAAAGACCAATAGGCCACTCTCATCGAGAGTCAAACTTGAAACTTGTGATTATCAAGCCAACAATCTGACCATATTGGCTGAGATTTTTGTTGAGTTGTTAATGTTTGGCTGAAAATCTTTGGGAAAGTTGGGTGGTTGGGCTTTAGAGAGTGGGTGGGAAAGTAGTTGAAGAAAGAGGTTTTTGGTCAATACTTTCATGGACTAAGTGTGACAGTCTAACCTAACAAGAAAGTGCTGGTTTCAACATTCAAATGAAACCTTCCAACATAAATAGTCTAGGGAGTTAGGAAATGGGAAAGCAATTACCTTTTTTCAATGATTTTTTACTCTCAATCTTGAGAATTTGTGTATAGAGATACAAATGGGCTAAACCACACTAAAAGATTGAATCCAACCAATTAACCAGTCTAACCCATGGCCTTATAAACCCATATGTTCTCTCTTATTTTATAGATGTGAGACTCTTAACAGTTAGGAATATTATATTCCAGAGACTAATAAGTTTCTGCATATATGATCGGTGAGAGCAGGGAGTGTCGAGGAAGCCTGGTTTGATTCTGCTGCAATATTCGAATCTGATTGCTGCAGTGACGAGGAATTCCAGAGTGTTTCTGATGGTATCTCGCAAATTTCGTTCTTTTTCTACTGATTGTAGTTTTGAGGATAATCTTATTATGTCAATGTAACAAACTCGTTATACTTCTACAGATGCTCGCTCTCTCGATGGCTTTGAAACCGAGCATGTTCACGTGCCCGGGAATTCATCAGCCAGCTGCAATTCTACTTGTAACTCTGTCACCGGGATTGCCAAAACTCGCATCCAACCAAACAGCTCAGTGCATCCGAAAGATGCTGATTCTGGACAGCGAAACGAGGTAAAACCTGTGTTCCTAAGTGAAACCTCGTTGTCTTGCTTGCCCTGTCTTGCTTCTACTGTCCCTCCCGTTGAGAAACGAAGATCCTCGAGCTCCAGTCCTCGAAAGAAGGCTGCATTAAAACTGCCCTTCAAATGGAAAGACGGGAATTCTAATTCTGGTTTAGGTAAGTTTAAGCACAAAGTTCATTCGATGTGATTGCAGCTATGTATTGGTCTCGAGCCTACTACTTAAGGGCACTATACCCTAAAGAAACTGACCCTTTTCATGATATGGAACTAAAATGGTAATGTTTCTTTGTTGGTTGTAGTTTCATCGAAGTCGCTTCTGCAAAGACCAAATGCGGGTTCTCAAGTACCGGTTTGTCCCTTCGAGAAGAGAATCCCAAACAGTTGGTCTCGCATTGAGGCAGGTTCTTTCAGAATTCGAGGAGAGAACTACTTCCGGTAAGCAATTTGCATCGTCCTTCTAGTTCATGTGATATAGTTTCCCGTGCTCACATATCAAATGGTTGCAAAGTAATCGATTTTGCTAATTCCCCAGACACCTGTCAACCTTAACTGCACCGTTTACTCTTGTCGGGACTCAAACTCGTGATCTATGCTCTGATACCACTTTTTAGGACTAAGCGCCCCTAACAATCCTCTAGCCACCTGGTTCTGGACTTGGCCTTTCAGCCTTTCAAATATTTGTATTTCCGCTTTGCAGGGACAAGAAAAAGGAGTTTGCTCCAAATTATGCTGCATATTACCCAATTGGCGTCGATGTATTTCTATCCCAGAGGAAAATAAACCACATTGCTCAGCTCGTGGAGCTTCCCGTTATTGAATCTTCAGCCAATCTTCCACCCATTCTCGTCGTGAATGTCCAGGTATTGCTCGTTTTATGATCATTTGCATATAACCCGCAAATTAAACAAGTTCTGGTTCTTGAATTGCCACTTTCCTTTCTTTACAGATACCATTATACCCAGCCACGCTTTTTCAGAACGAAACAGATGGAGAAGGAATAAGTTTCGTTCTGTACTTCAAGCTTTCTGATAGTTACGCGAAAGAGCTTCCATATCATTTCCAAGACGGTATAAGAGTAAGCTTACACGCTATATATATACTACAACAGACATTTTTCTTGAATTCTTTCTATATGTGCTTCAAAAACTGTCAAAAAGACAACCTTTTTTCTCAAGGTTCTTTGCTGTTTTTGCTGCAAAACTGCAGAAGCTGATCAACGATGAAATGGAAAAAGCGAAGGGTTTTCCAATAGACAACATCGTACCATATAGGGAACGGTTGAAGATCCTAGGTCGTGTAGCAAATGTCGATGATCTGCCTTTGAGTGCAGCGGAGAGGAAGCTAATGCATGCCTACAATGAAAAACCCGTCCTTTCTCGTCCTCAACATGAGTTCTATGTGGTAAGTTTATGTCTATGTGTTGAAGTAACACTACTGAAAAACCCGGGATTTCCAATCACCAGAAAGTGGTCAAAAACTTAAGGTGCGTGGTTTGTGATCATAAACGACCTTTTCAACCACTTTGGGAATCCGAAATACTTTTAGTTGCTATTACTGGCCCAACTACTTTAGTGGTTGGAAAGTACGTCTTTTTTAAGGTGGTCAGAAAAGTTGAAAATTTTACTAATCGTACGTTAGTTTATCATAAGTGATCAGTAATCGACTAGTCTCCACGATGACAATTCTTCTTAGTGATTGTTTCTTACCGTCTTCTTGACTATATATTGCCATTTTTACTGCAGGGAGAAAATTATTTCGAAATTGATTTAGATATGCACAGATTCAGTTATATCTCCAGGAAAGGTTTTGAAGCATTCTTAGATAGGCTAAAATACTGCATCTTGGATTTTGGCCTCACCATTCAGGCAAGTATTGTTATCCCGAGACTAATCTGATCGAGTTTCAGTCGATCCCATTATTTGGGATGCTTTTCATTTCACTTTGGGATCTTTCATGACAATACTCTTATGTTGTTGTGAAACCAGGCTAACAAATCCGAGGAATTGCCAGAGCAGATGTTATGTTGTATAAGGTTAAATGAAATTGATTATGAGAATTATCAGCAACTAGGGTTGAATCAAGAGCCCCTTGAATAGGTGGATTATAGGTTTATAGTCTTCAAAGATGGAAGATTTTTGCCCCCGAAGTAACGGCGGTTTACCTCTTCTACGTGATTTGAAGATTATTAAACGAGAGATGTTTACCCAGTGTATATACCCTTAGTAGTGACAGCTGGTTGATGATTTACCTCTTCTACATAATTTGCGGATTATTACATAGGAGCGATTTACCCCGTGTACATCCTCAGTAGTGACTGTGGGTTGACAGTTTACTTCTTACCTCTTCTACATGATTTTCTTATTATTACACAAAATGTTTACCTAGTATACATCTTTAATAACAATAGTTATTGCGTGGACCGTGGTTTTGCTTAATTTTATCTTTTCGTGCGCTCAGCTGCAACATACATTTTTATAACTCATAATATACATTATTCTAAAACATAATGTATATTATTCTAAAGCATAATGTACATTATTTTAAAACATAATGTACATTATATTATCTCAGATGTTTCATTATTCTAATTTCTAACACGTAATATACATTCACATAATGTACATTATTCTAACATGTAATGTACATTATTTTAACATATAATGTACATTATTTTTACTTATAATATTCAAGACAATGTTTTGGACTGTGGTCTATGCAGCTGTGTGGACCACGGTCGACACAATAATTTGCCCTTAATAGTGACTAAGTTGACGGTTTATCTTTTCTACATGATTTGTGAGTTATTACACAAAAACGTTTTACTAGGTGACTGGGTGTACATCATCAGTAGTTACTTTTTTTTTTGGTGGCTAAAAGATTCTTTTCTTTTAGGATTTTTTTTAACACCACATGTGAAACAACCTATGTAACAAGAACAAGGTTTTACTAGGTTGTCGTTGTTCTTAACGACTGCCAATCTCTGTATATTTTGACTTCATGTATAGAATACAACGGAGAAAGTTACATGATATAATTAAAGATTAATCGATAATCGATATTAGCAGCCCATGATGTTGCTAGCCTTAATCCGGGGTTTCTCCGGCACCGTGCCATCGTTTCCGGCGAGAGCTCGGTACTTATCTTTCCTGGTAAAAGTAGTGCATTCATACGAGAGAGTCGCGGCGATAACCCTCTGTATATAGTTCGCCACCTCGTGGCTAGACTTGCCGGAGTGACACGTCAGCTCCGGCGGGAGCTTGTTCAAGAACGTGACCTCGTAGGCGGGGCTGGGGTTCATGAAGAAGTAGAAGGGGTCCATCCCTTTCCAGCCACGCGCCGTCGTGCCGTGGAACATGCTCATCCGGTTCACCATGGCCACGGGGACCAGCTCGCCGGTCAGCTCGGCGAAGAGGGAGGAGAACCGGAGCAGGAACGGTTCGCGGCAGGTGGTCCCCTCGGGGCAGATGGCGAGGTCGCCGTGTTCGAGGAGGCGCGTGATCATGGCGGCGTCGGCGGCGCGGTCGCGGGAGAGGCGGACGGTTTTGATGGGGGAGATGAGCTCGGAGAGGCGGGAGACGGAGTAGGTGACGGCGGGGATGCGGCGGCCGAGGGCGGCGGAGAGGAAGATCGGGTCCAGGAGAGTGCGGTGGGAGCAAATGAAGAGGACGCCGGAGTGGCCGCTTTTGAGCGGCGGCGGCGGCGGCGGAGTGCCTTTGACTGTGACGCGGACGCCGAGGGCCCAGAAGGCGTAGTAGACGATGGACATGGGGAGGAGGGAGCCGGCGGCGATTCTCAGACACGCGAGGAAGAAGCCGACCGGAATCCAAAGAATGGTGAGAAGAGCGACGATAGGGTTGGGCTTCTGTACTAGCCGGCCGTCGTGGAAGATGACCGGTTTGGGAAGCTTATCTATGGTCACCGCTTTCACCTTTGGATTTGGAGGAACAATGTATCCTTCCTGCCAAATAAAACAAAAGAAAATGACATATTTTTAAACTGCTAAATATAATTCTATGATCACTTTTCATTACAACCTAATCTTCGTGATAGGGATTATTTCCGGACCATATTTTAATCAACACTAGACCGGTACCGAACCTACTAGGGGTGTAGAGCTCGGTCTGATCGGCACTAACTCGATCTTCTCATGCCTCCTTGACCCGAATTCTAAAACGAGAGGACCTCGCTAGTAAATTAGAATTAAGTGCCGATCACATCGCCCCGTTCATTCTGGGTCGTGACTCGTGACCGAGCCCCGACCTTTGGTACTTTGAACATCAGTCAAATACGACGATAATGAGCCTCATAGCGACAGGAATCTGCGAACACGTGAACAGATCAGCATGGACGGTCGGCGTCACCTCTGCATGCGCCCCACGCGCCGTGCATGCCGAGAGACCGGTATCTATCCCCTATCACCGTACCCCCTATAAATACCGCACTAAAACATGCGGAGATGAGGGACTTTTGGCAATTTCTACACACTAACCTTTAGTTCGGGAACCTCTGACCTACTGTCAAACCATCCGAGCTCAAAAATTTAAACCAACAAGCATATTATGTAAAGGGGCCGTATCCGGAACGGAACCTAATACCATATAAAGTAGTAGAAACCCCATATTTACTACATCAGCTCCGATCATTTTGAATAGTTGGTAAATGCAACTAGGTAAGATCTCCAATTGTGTTTGACAAATTTTGAACTTTTATATAACATAATATATAGATATTTCCAAGTTCAAGTATCATATTGAGCAGTTTATATATTAACCTTAGAGTTAATACCCAAAATTGTCCTCGACTATAGTGGTTTTTCTCAATTTCGTCATAAACGACTTTGGTGACCTAATATCGTCCAAGACTTTTGTGTTTCGTTCAATTTAGTCCCAAACTTTTGTGTTTTTGCTTAATTTAGTCCATCATTTGTTATTTTGTCCATTTGGTGTTAAATAAATAGACAATTCAGTAATTTCAATATTAACATCTCTTTACTCATAGACATGTGAACTGCGAAATTCTTTTTTTTTTTACGAATTACTCCTAAAACTGCGAATATAAAATTTGATTTGCAGGTCCGGGAGTAATTCTGGGTGTAATTCGTACAAGAAAGATAAATTTCGCACTTCACAAGTTGAAAGTAAAGAGAGATCAATATTGAGATTACTGAATTGTCCCTTAATTTAACACCAATTTGACGGAATAACAAATGGAGGACTAAATTGAGCGAAACACAAAAGTCTGGGACGATATTAGGTCACCAAAGTCGTTTAGGACGAAATTGAGAAAAACCACTATAGTCGAGGACGATTTTGGGTATTAACTCATTAACCTTATTGATTTGAAATGGTAATAAGCTATAAGCAACCTAAACTGTCTTATAATTTTATAATGACTAAGATTACAAAGCATAGTTTATATGGAGATTATGAATTTTCTAGACATCAATAAAAAATAAAACGCCATGATCAAACTAACCTTGCAAAGCTCCATGAAGGGGGCATCGGTGTGGCGATCACCCAACCCAATCTCCGGCCGAGTCTCCCCAAAAGCCTTCTTTAAAGCATCGGCTTTGTTCTTCCCAACCAGCACGCCGGGCTTCTTCACCAGCCCGGTAGCCCTTCCCTTCCACGTCGAAATCTCCGTCCCCAACACCATGTCGGCGCCCAGGAAGCCCTTCAGGAACGCCTCCACCATCACCGTCGGGTTCGCCGTCAGCACGCACCGCGCCCCGCCGCACGACGAGAACACGCGCCACGACTCCGGGTGGAGGTCCGCCGTGTAGAACTTCGGCAGGACGGCGCGCGCCACGGATTCTATGCTCGACACCTTCATTCCGGCGAACGTCGCGAAGATCAGCACCTGCAGGTTCAGTTATGAATTTTATTTGCACGTGCAATGAATAGTTAGAAAGAACTTGGTGAACATTCTCCATGCTGCACTGGTTCTAAACCTTTGAAAAAAAAACTTTTTAAAAATTTTACAATTAAATGTAACAAAATAGCCAATAACCATGTGGTCTAATGGCATGAAGTAGTGACTCTTCCAAATACGAGGTTACTTACTAATCTATTATTTATTTTTATATTAGAGTTAATTTCATTTTTGATCCTAGATTTATAGGTGAAATTTCATTTTTAGTCTTTTTATTTCAAAATATCAACTTTTGATCCTAATACTATTGTGTCATGACCATTTTTTATCCTCCATCAACAAAACAGTTTAAATTTTATCAAATACAAGAGCATTTCAGTCTTTATTTTTTATTTTTTTTCAAAAAATAAACATAAAAAATATAGCGGGTCAAACTACTTTGTATAAAATAAAGATTAAAATGTCGTTGTATTTAACGACATTTCAATGATTTTTTTACCGGAAGACAAAAAAATGATCATGCAACAATAATTAGGACCAAATGAGGATGTTATGACCAAAAAAAAAAAAAAACCTAAAAGTACATAATTGTCACCTATAAATCTATGCACACCTGTAAAAAAAAAAAAAAAAAAAAAAAAAAAAAAAAAAAAAAAATCTATGCACACCTGGATTCCCGCGTTTTCGGAAACAAAATAGTAGAGAACTCCAACTAAAGGGGCGACCAAAAGCAAGAAAAGAAGCCTAAAAACGCCGCCGGCTTCAAATGCTATGAGCGCAAAATACGGGAAAGAGCTCCGACCTCTAAGCAGCGTTCCGTCCATGTCTGCCACTACCGTGTCCTTTTCGCGGCCAATTGAGGAACATTTATCGACAGTCGGAAAGGTTGTCGAGACCACCATTTTAACCGATTTACTATTTTAATATGTTCGGATCAAAATCTATATCCGCGATAAACTCAATCAATTTATTTTTACTTTATACATTGAATAGAATTGGAGGGTTGGTTGAAGTTGATTAGTTTGGTAGGGTATAGTATATATAGAGAGAGGAAGTTTAAATGCGACAATTTTGGAGAGCATAGAAGAGTCAGTAATGGTGATGGCTTAGAGACAGAGCCTCCAATATAGACCTAGGTTTCTGCTAAATGTGCTTCAATTCATAGTTCAAAACGCCATTTCTAAATTTTTTGTCCTTCAATTCAAATAATATAAAATTCACATATACTAAAACTTACACTAAGAAGATCATGTGCAACATAGAGCGAAAAGGTTCTATGAATATCATTTGTTGCATTTTGTAAATATTGATATTTGTATATTACACGATGAGATTCAAATAGCTATCACAATATGTGTTAGTATACTTTTTTTTTTTTTGTTTTTTTGTTTTTTACGTTAATCGACCCAAAAAAAAAAAAAAATTCCTTTCCCCCCACACCTCCTGAATTGGTATGTGGAAATGACGTTAATCGACCAAAAAAAAAACATATCTTCTTGTTACAATGTAGTATCTATTCATATCTAATTTCTTAACCTATGACCTCCCATTTAGAAGAGTCACTTCATGCCACTAGATCAAAAGGTCATTGACTATCTCCTTGTAATCTAAATGCATTTAGAAGTGTTTTAGGTCAAAGTTTCAAAATACCAACAACAACATACATGTCAGTATTGAAAAAAATCCTTAATTCCTCAATTCATTTAGTTGCCTCATATGACTTCGTCTTGAGCTTTCGTTGTTGGCCTATATAAATTATAAAATATAAAAACATATTATACTCTTGTCCCAAAAGGTTGAATCCCCAACCCTAAGGGTCCCCGCACTCCGACCCGACAGAGTATGTGAGAGAATGTAAATTACGGTGACTCAATAGTTTAGTAGAAATAGCAAAATGTCGGTGCGTACAAGGAACATATGATACTCACATTTACAAACACATTATCTGAACTTTTTAACTTAAACATTATAACATATTACAAGATGGATCATACTTTATGATATAATTAATTTAGGACATATAGGTTTCAAGGTAATAACAACTACACACATTTATAGCCATTAAATCTATACGTCATAATCAACTAACTTGATCAAGTATGGTATCAATTCAAAGCTTTTGTCTTTATACACTGCAGACAAATAATGGCTTAATACTTCGGATTAAACGGAAAATTTTGGCTCAAAAGTCAACAACAAAGTCATAATACAATACCTAAGAGCATTCCTAGTCACTACCATCTATTTTTAGTCTTTTTCTTGCAAGATGAAATTGGTCTAATTTTATCAAAATTATTTTTATCAAAATAATTAAAAATTTCACCAGCAAATATGTCTTTTATATATATATATATATATATATATATATATATATATATAATTTAGAAGTTGTTTCTATTGAATTTTTAATAAAAGAAGTCTTTTTTTTTTTTTTTCTTTTTTGATAACCAGGTAAGTCTGATATGATAAGGGTAAGAATATCAGAATCAACAATATGAATTTCTGGCCTGAAGGGTCTTTTAATTATTAAGGAAGAAAGATACAAAGACATTTTATATCAAATTTTGAAAATCAATTTTTTCCTTGAATTTTATTTATTAATGTATATTTGTCTTGAATAGAAAATATACCCATCTTTATAAGTATATATTATCATTGTGTCTTCTATAATCAAAGACTATTCTAGATTGGCCTCTTTTCTTTAATTTCATGCTTCTTTCTGGACAATAAAAGCATGAATTCTATGCCTAGAACTTGAGTGGCAGATGGATAATATGGAGATGTGGCAGTATTTTGATTTGAGCTAGTTTTTGTATTCATAATTTTTTTTTTTTTTTTTGAGATTCCTTCATCAGTTCTATTTTAATTTATTAATATCTTCTAGATATATTTTCAATAATGGAAATAATATGCAAAAGTATCTTGTACTTCCATAATATCAAGGTCTAAAATTTTTATTTTACTAAACTACCTTTTGAACCTCTGCAGAGTCACACCCCTCTCTAAATAATAAAAACTTTGATAAAAATAATTTTGACATAGACAATTTCGTCTTGCAAGAAAAAGACTAGAAATTTTAAACGACCTTGATATTATGGACGTACAAGATACTTTTGCATATTATTTCCACTATCATGTTTAAAATTTTTACTTCACTAAATTACCTTTGGAATCTCTGCGGAGATATACGATTGGGGTGGACCTAAATCTAACCAAAAACATATTCATTGGGTTTGCTCTAATGGAACTTGCTAGGAAATTTTGGTCTTGATTGGTACCAGTACTTGTTGTATTAGGTACAATAAAAAAAATTTTAATAACCATATCAGGTGCAATGAAGACACTATGAGCAATAGGTTCATTGTACCCAAGTACAACCTCCAAAGTTTTTTTCATTCACTTTGTAATGTCTTTATTGCATTGGTTACCACTTTAATATTTTTATTTTATTTTTTATTTACAAGAAAGTTTGAATTTACGACAACTTTCAATTCAATGTGAGTTAAACTTGAAACTTTGTTACTAAATCAATTGCTTGATTTACTTATATAAGATTGATTAGTATAATTAATTGTGATGATTGATACTTATAATTAGTAACTAATTTCTATTTTGAATTAGTTATAGGGTCAACGAATTGATGACACTCAATAAATAAATGTTGCATCAAAAGAGAAAATATTAGAGGTCAACTTTACAAGAGGAAGAAAACATTTTCTATTTTATATTTATGTATTTTTTCCTAAAATCTTTTCAGAATTTCAAAATTTCAAATGAGAATGCGGCGATTCCAACGTACCACCGCCACAGCGCCACCAAGATTATTAAAATAAAATAAAATAAAATAAAGGTGGCCCACGCGCCGTCAGCAACGTGTCCCCATGCACCCACTCACAAAAATCGAAACAATGTTCAAATGATCGAATCAAATGATAATCTTCGATTATTTGGCTGTTAATGAATTGTCGGAACGTCGGCGGCCGGTGAAGAGCTCACCTCTGATCTGTTTCATACGGAGGAGCTGTATTATCGGCGGCGGCGATCGCCGGTAGCTGTTGGAATTCACGTAGGTGCTGTGTCGCCGCCGGCAGAGTTTGGAACTTATCGAACCAAAACATTATTTGGTTGGAAATTAGCAATATCACACCATCATCGTCATATATAGTTTTACAAACTAGATTTTCAACAGATTAAAATTTTAAATATTTAATATTTTATATACATAAAAATCACATTTAAAAAGTGGTATTAGTTTATTAGACAAAAAAAATAAATAAATTACAATTATTAAAAAATACTAAAAAATAAAGAGTAAACTTGATTAATGAACTATAAACAAGCCATGTAAAATGAGACATCAAAGTATAATAGTACACAACTTATTTAAAATTTTCACATTTAAACTATGCAAATTATTTTATTTTACACACATTTAATTCACGTTCGCACACACTTGGATGTGTTTGGTTGACGGGTTTTGCTCACAGGAATAGGTATGAAAGTGATTGTTATTGTTTGGTTGATAGGTATTTAGAACACTATTATCGGTTTCGAATACCTCATTAATTGAAAAATCCATACCCAAATGAAATAAGAGTTTCACTCCCCTATTCCTCTTTTCAAAAACTACTATTAGTAACTATTCTCATTCCACCCTACTACCAAACGTGCTAAATACTTTCACCAAAATCCATTACCATTAGCAAGTATTTGATACGCATTCCGATTCCGATTCCCATATGCGAACCAAACACACACTTAATCTAATCTAGACCATTAAAAAATATTAGATGAATACACACGATTTGTTCTCACGAGTCCGGTTTGACAACTCTACTTAATATAAAAAACATAAAGATAATAATTCCTATTTGTAATCCCGTTAGAAAGTAAAACAACTGTATCGACAAGGACTAACCTGAAGACAACCTTTTATGTGTGGCTTACATGATTACAATAATGAATTTTCCAATTTCAAAAATCAAAACTATATTCCAATAATTTAATTTATTAATTTCTCCATAATTATGTCACATTCCCCCATGTTACGACGCCGTTTGCATCGCCAGTGCATCCCACTAACGGCCAGCGAAAACACAGTGCCAATCATCTTGTTCCATTTTGCATTTCAAATATTTCCCTTTCCAGACATAAAAGAAATATATATATTATTTATATATAAATATATATATAATTTAGGGAGTATATAGTGTATGTATAGGTGTTGTAGTTCATCTGAAATGGTGTTGTAGACTTGTAGTTCATCTGGAATGATGAACTAGTCCTCTGCTTCTCCGCCTGCTTTTTTCCAGCAAGATTTATTTTAGGGTTTGGGCCTCGATCCGTTGTTCAAAATTCAGTTTTTTTTTTTTGAACTTTTGATGCTTGAGATTTGAGAAGAGCTGAGGAATTTTGGGGTTGTTAAGGATGAAGCGAGGGAAGCTCGACTCACTGATCTCGGTGAGTCGGCTCAGATCGATTCAAGTGTTGATGGGGCTACTGTTTCTGTACTTGCTGCTAATGAGCTTCGAAATACCTCTGGTTTTCAGGAGTGGAGTCGGGTTGGACTCGCCGGAGCTCCCGTTTCGGTCTCGGAGCTCGCTGCCAGTCCATCTCCGGACGGAAACCTCGGTTTCTCGGCTTCCGACCAGGGCGACGCGCACACAAGAGACGACGCCGAGGAGATTGGGGGAGTATAGGAAGGTTTCGGGTTTGGTGTTCGACGAGAGCTCGTTCGATAGTATCGACAAGGACGAGTTCTCGGAGCTCCACAAAGTCGTTAGAGACGCATTCGTGGCCGGAAAGAAGCTCTTTGAGGAGATTGAATCCGGGAAAGTTCGGACCGAGTTGGAGAATCGGACTCAGAAGAATCTCAACGAGTCGTGCCCTAACTCAGTGGTTTTGACAGGGCAGGAGTTCGTGGAGAGTAATAGGTTGATGGTGATTCCGTGTGGACTGACCTTAGGGTCGCATGTGACGGTGGTGGGGACACCGCGGTGGGCCCACTCCGAGAAGGATTCGAGGATTGCGGCGGCCAAGGACGGGGAGGAGACTGTGATGGTTTCCCAGTTCATGATGGAGCTTCAGGGATTGAAGACAGTGGACGGCGAGGATCCTCCGAGGATACTGCATCTTAATCCGCGGTTGAAAGGGGATTGGAGTGGTAGGCCAGTGATTGAGCAGAACACGTGTTATAGGATGCAATGGGGAGCTGCAATGAGGTGTGATGGCCTGAAATCCAAAGCTGATGAAGAGACTGGTAAGCATTTTCTTGATTGTTTGGTAGAATGTGGTGACTGATTTTGATGTGAAGGTCTTATGGATCCTTCTATGTGTGACCATTATATGTGAGACCGTCTTACGGATCTGATGTGATATCTGTTGTGTCAATATGAAAATGTAATATTTATGTTGAAAAATGTAATACTAATTAGGAATAAATTGTCCGTGAGAAAAAAATATAATACTTTTAAATTAAAATGTAATATTTAGGGATTTTGAACAACTTATGAGAAGAAGTGTTAATGTTAATCTAGGAAAAGTGTAATGCTAATCATAGATAGATTGATTGATTGTTACTTATGAGAGAAAATGTAATACTTATAGTGAAAAATATGATATTTTTGATGAAAAATGTGATCTTTTTAAATCAAAATGTAATATTATGGGTTGAAAAATGGAAAGGTACTTACAAGGAAAATTGTAATACTTATGAAAAACCCAACCAGTGAGACGGTTGCATAGGAGATTTTGTCTTGATCTGAACGTTGCCTTTTTCCTTTTTGTAGTAAAGATTTAATAATTCTTCATGTTTTTGCACTTTCTGAAGCATGTTGAATTTGTGTGATTATTATTAAGTTATTTCACTGGCTCTTCTCACCAAGCATATATGTTAAATGTTGTTAACTAATTTAGTGGAACTCAATATTTGAACCACTGTGGAGGCATCTATCATTATTGGGAAGGTGATGTTAATGTCATATCATTCAGGTGTTGCAAAGTATGTTTCTATTACACTTAACCATTTTTGGCAGGCGCTAATGTAATTTTTAATTGTATATCAACTGATAGGTGTGGTTTTAGGCTGCTTGAAGTTAATATGTTTTCGGTGTTGCTTGATATGTTTTTATTACATTGTAATTGTTAACTTCAGTTGTCACGAACTCGAAAAAGTTTGATGATTATCCTATAGCATGAGCAGTATTTCATATGTATGTGCAATGATGTATGCAATTATTTTATTATTATATACGGGTGATGCCTGACTTGAAGAAGTTTGGTAATCACTCTATCATGAGCAGTATCTGTATGCAACTATGTTTATTTCCATATTTCATTTCATTCGTGTACATTTCTAATTTTCTGGACTATACAAAGTTGATGGGCAGGTGAAATGTGAGAAGTGGATTCGTGGTGATGATAATCACTCTGAAGAATCGAAGGCGACATGGTGGTTAAAGAGGCTGATAGGAAGGACGAAGAAGAAGGTGTCAATTGACTGGCCATACCCATTTGCGGAGAACAAGTTGTTTGTACTGACAGTTAGTGCGGGTTTGGAAGGTTATCATATCCATGTAGATGGGAGGCATATTTCTTCTTTCCCCTATCGCACTGTAAGCACTCTACTAATGCCCTTGAAGGTGGAGTTGAAATAAATAGATATGTCAAAAAAATGTTTGTTATTGTTGCCAGGGGTTTACGCTAGAAGATGCAACGGGATTATCACTGAAGGGGGATGTGGATGTGCATTCTATATTTGCTGCTTCCTTACCCTCGACTCATCCAAGTTATGCTCCTCAGAGGCACTTGGAAATGTTGCCAAGGTGGCGAGCCCCGCCTCTTCCTATTGAACCTGTGGAACTCTTTATTGGAATCCTTTCTGCTGGCAATCATTTTGCTGAGCGGATGGCGGTGAGAAAGTCATGGATGCAACATGGATCTATTAGGTCATTGAAGGTTGTGGCCCGTTTTTTTGTAGCAATGGTAAGAAGTGGCATATTTAAGCAGTCTATATTAATGAAAAAATCGAGTCACCTTGGCCACATATATACTTATGTTCTTAACATGTGAACTTTGCAGCATGGAAGAAAGGAAATAAATGCGGAACTCATGAAGGAAGCAGAATTTTTCGGTGATATTGTTATAGTGCCTTACATGGATAATTATGATCTCGTGGTATTGAAGACTGTGGCAATCTGCGAATATGGGGTGAGTGGTTATAAGACTTAATTTTGTCAGCTTCCATGTCCTTTTCTGGGCTTCCCACCATCTAATGAACTTTCAAGTTTCCTTGTCATCATGCAGTCTTTCTGACCTCTCAGGAGTTTTGCAGGTCCGTACAGTCGCTTCAAAGTATATAATGAAGTGTGACGATGACACATTTGTACGGATAGATGCTGTCATGAATGAAGTTAAGAAAATTCGTCATGGCAGAAGCCTGTATATTGGAAACATCAATTACTACCATAAGCCACTGCGAAATGGTAAATGGGCAGTCACCTATGAGGTATGCACTTATTCCTTCTCTATTTTTGATCCCCTGGATGATTGGCCAACTTCTATGTGTGTGTGTGTGTGTATTTTTTTTTTCCTGATTTTTTAAAAAGTATATTCTCCTTCCAAGTTCGACTCTCAACGGGAGCATTCTATTGGCCTTCTTAGTTTGAACTGGTAACCTATGGATGACCTAGGGTGGTTTACTTTCTTGTGGTCCTTTGATGGCCAGGGTTACAAAGCGGGATTTACTTAGTGCAGGTTGCAGGTTTCTCTCGTGATCCAAAAAAAATGCATATTAACCCTCTCTCACTATCTATGGGCCTTCTTTTCCCTTTTCAAATAAAGACAAGCTAAAATTGCGTGTCTATCTCAAATTAGATAAAGATGAAGTCTTGTGAGTTGTGAGTTTATTGTTTCTTTTCTTAATTGAGTTCAAGTGCTACAGTTTGCTTGTGTTTTAGTTTCTTATCATGTTCTAGTTCAGAAGTTAACTGTCCCTACGGACAAATTCACGTCATTTTTACATTTTTTTCTCTCGCACTCACTACTATCATTATTCTTTTGGTACATGTGAGTGGGCTGGAGGTTGAATTTGAATCCTCCTACCTAGAGTTACACGCTCATGCCTCTATACTTCAATGTTTTTCTCTACAGAACTGTAAATATTTGCTGAATTGCCACAAATTGCTTTATCGGTGCCTGGGAGTTTACCCTGAATTGGTCTGTTTATCACCTCACTTTTTGTTCTTGGGAGTTGCAGGAATGGCCAGAAGAAGATTATCCGCCCTACGCGAATGGGCCTGGTTATGTCATCTCGTCTGACGTTGCAGAGTCCATCGTCTCTGATTTTGAGCAACATAAGTTGAGGGTATGATATCAATTCCCTCTTTTCTCCCCTCGCCTCTCTTTGATTGTACTTATATATCTGCATGTTTGTCCATCCCGCAAAGCATGAAAATTATGAAGGCACTACTGTTTAAATCTTTGTAACACGAAAATGGGAAATAGGGAAACATAGGATACAAAATGCTAGTGGAATTTACAAGTATAAAAAGGAAAATGCTTCTTACCCCTCATGATGTGGCTTCCATTGATTGGGTGTCCATGAATAGGCTAACCCACTACTAATTAAAAATGAAATTTAGTAACCAATTAAATGATGCCACATCATGAGGGATGGATTGGAGGGGAAAAATAGGAGGGGTATCTAGGGAAAAGGGTCAAATAGGCCCATAAATTTTACTCGAAAAGTCAATTAGGCCCCTAAACTTTCAAAAGTTGCAATTAAACCCATAAACATGTTATTTTGATGCATTGAAGCCCAAAAACCGGTTAGTGACATGCTTATGGGTTTAATTGCAACTTTTGAAAGTTTAGAGGCCTAACTGATTTCTCAAGTAAATTTTAGGGGCCTATTCGACCTCTTTCCCAAAAATATAAGCACGTATTTGCAAATATTTTTTCTTTAAATATGCATAAACATTAATTCTTTACTAGTTTCTGAAACGATTTATAGAGTTTCTGCAAATTCTTGAGAGGAAACATTTACCCTTGAGGGTTTCTGTGGGAAAAAAAAAAAACGATACTTTAACACATTTGACATGCTGCAGTTGTTCAAGATGGAGGATGTGAGCATGGGAATGTGGGTAGAGAAGTTCAACAATTCGAGGTCGGTGGAGTATGTACACAGCTTGAAGTTCTGCCAGTTTGGATGCATCGAAGACTATTACACAGCGCACTATCAATCCCCTAAGCAAATGATCTGCCTCTGGGGAAAACTGCAAAGCCAAGGGAAAGCCCGCTGCTGCAACGTAAGATGACAGTGGCTTGCTTACCTCCATCATGGCAAAAAGACAATGGGGGGCGCACAGACATTGTTTACGTAGGAATTTGAAGAGGAAACCGAGGGGAAAGTTTCTGTGCGCTTGTACATATAGTTTGAGGTCGTTAGCGCCTGCCGCCTTAGTGACAATTGTTTACCTGCTAAATTCTTTCATTACTTGCTTCACATCAGCTGGGGCCATATTCTGTTGTTATCATTGCCTAGTTGATTCTGGGAATATGTTCTATGCCTAGTTGATCCTGGGAATATGTTCTTGAGACTGTATGGTGGTGGGACTTTTTTTTTTTTTTTTTTTTTTTTTGAAATTTTCAGGTTGTGTAATCTTTTAGTATTGACAGTAGAGGAGAGCAGAATGAAGTGAAATTTAAAATTGAAATTGCAGCTGTAAAGCCAGTGCAGGATATCATAGCTTTTGCCTTTTGGTATGGTTGTTTGGTCAGTCCACTTGCATTGAACACCAACATTTTTCTTTCAGAGCATAGTGTTTTCCATGGAATTATAATTAGAAATATTCATGTATTTCTATCAATTCTACACTTGAATAATGAGTTGTATCTTGCCAATCACTCTAGTAGCATGAAGTGACTCTCTCAAATGAGAGGTCATGGATTTGAGTCTTAGTGGGGCGATATTGACTCTTTGTGCTTTAGTAAGTTGATAAAATAGTTATGAACAGATATTACATTGTAACACAGTCAGTAGTATTAAAAAAAATGAGTTACTCTTGATTGAGCCTAGTGAAGTAGTTATGAACAGATATTACATTATAACACAGTCAGTAGTACTAAAAAAATGAGTTACTCTCGATTGAGCTTAGTGTACAGACTCTTTTTAGTACATTTTATCTCTGTTGTATAATTTGCAAATTATTATACAAGATTGAAATTTACTCATAATCTTGAGAAACATCTACTCGATCGAGTACTATGATTCTTTAATTAAAAGACTATGATTATATATCAACAACACTATTCTATCCAAAAGAGAAAAGATGTTTGGGAACTTTGGATCATGAAAGTCCGGAGGATTCGAATATTTTGAGGGAAAAAAATTCCAAAGCTTTGAACACCACCCGTTGTCTAAAAGTTCAGATAAAGAGAGCATTATATTCATCAAGATCAAAATGATTCTTCTTCTTCTTCTTCACAAAGTGGTGGTGCTCAAAACAAGGTACATATTCCTACCAACTCTAATAATATATACTTCTTACTTTTGTCCAATATGATTCCTCAATTTTTATGTTTTTTTTTTTTATAAACATGTTATCTTTGGGTCATGGTGTTTAGTGTCCTATTAATTAATGGTATTTAGATACCATTGGTCTTGTTTAAGACTGGCTAACATAAGACACATGTAATGATGTAAGGCAAATTGTTTGGTCTTGTTGATGGTATATTGTTATAAAATTTATGGTAACGCATGGAACATGTAATTATTGATGGAGTATGAGCGTGGTTGAGCATCAACTTAATTTTTAATTTGGTATCAGAAACGACCTTATGTAAGAGACTATCTGTCCACGTGTAGCTTGGCTTGTTAACAAAAGTAACTGGCCTGCACATACACATGGGGAGTCTGATCTGTTGAGTATCGTATATATAAATATAATAAATGTGTAGTCAACTGTACGTCTAACTATCAACTTAAACTATTAGTTGAAATGGAACACATCCTTCAATTATATTTGAGACGGTACAATTGTACACGATATATATACATAAGTTGCACAAGCTAGAAGAGTATTAACCTACCAAAGAATTAAGAAATAAAGTATAATAAAGACTACGTATCACTAGACTTGACAGGACATTGCTTCATCAGCTAATATGTCATTTGCCTTCTTCACTCGTCAACTATTTTTCATTTTTTGGCTTGAATTGTGACTTTAGTCGCAAAGAACCACAAAGTCATAGATGATCGACTCAAATAAAAAAAAAAACGCCAATAAGCCGGCTCCCATTAAGAATCAAATTTGAAATTTTGTGATCACTAAGCTAAACGTCCGATCAACATGAAATCTACCTTGTACGGAGTCCCCGGCTGGTCCTTGGACCCTAAACCAACCATTCAGACAGAAGGAGCGGGACTCCTCTTTGCTTCTGACTGAACGGGCTCGATCATTTTCGATTTCCCGACAAGACCCTCCGCTTATGGGTTGTCCCAAATAATATTTATTAATTTTCAACTATGAATATGATGATGCCACTCAAGCCTCAACGTTTGTGTAGTCCAAGTGTAGGGTTCTCAAAGGGGACCAATTCTTCATGACACCATTTATTATATTCCAAGACTATTTCTTTATATTAATATGTTAATCAAAATATTGTAATCTAGTGATATAAATGTAAGACTTTCTATAAAAAAATTCATGGGTTCTGGAATTATATGGCAATGATGCATTTGACAACATCATATTCTTTGCACTTAGAATAAGATATAGGAGGCAATTCAACAATTAATAATCAAAACCCAACAATTTTCATTCCCATTTTTTTTTTTCCCCATGATTGTGCCTCATTGTATTCACAATTTGAACCATTTAAACTAATTAAAGATTCCCATCAAGCTGATAATAATGTCAGAACACTGAAATCTGCAGGTTGAAACTTCTTGTTGGTCACAGCACTTTCAGCAGCCTACATCAAGGCAAATAGAATGAACAATCCCAAGATCTCAACCAGCAAAAACCCTGTAAACAAAACAAGTGAATCCTTAGATCTTAGTGTTGAGAATAAGGATAATGGCGGGGTTCACTCAAAATGCACATCTGGATAACGGTTGTACGCTTTCACGTAAATTAAAAAATAAAGATGAGATAATAAATGCCCGCATATAGTATATCATTGGTAATAGTTTAAATTGTTATTTCTTTTGAAAAAAAAAAATAGTCAATTTAAACTGAGAACATTACAAATAAAGTCATGAGGGTAATCAATCCGCTCCATACAATCAGACAAAGAAACAGGCGATTGACTATATTTAGAAGGGTAAAATGGTAAATTATTGAAATAGACTTAGACTATAGTGTTTTCAAATTTCAACACTATGATCATCGACCCCGCTAACTATGAATTTGTTTGGAAGTAGACTATGAATATAGATTTGATTGTCAGATGAAATTAGGAATCCAGAACTAGAGTGGTGAAATCACTATAGCTGAAATACCATTTTGACAATTCACCATTTTTTTTGCTTTTGTTTTGTTTTGTTTTGTTTTTTTTTTCTTATTTTTAGCACAACCAACAGTTTACTTAATTTAAAAGGGTAAATTACCAAAATTGTGCCTTAGATGTAATGATTTTACCCCTTGGATCATTGACTTCTAATTTCGTCCAATAATATCATTAACTATTTATATTTATATTTATAACTCAATAGAATATGTGACAAATAAACTCTTTTTGTAGAAAAAAATTTCGAGATAACCCAAATTCAGTTTCTATGCCTCTCGGAGCGAGAAGGGATTAATTGTGTGCATCCAGACTAAAACATGTACAAACTTGGACAAAACAATACCTCCTAAAGTCTAGAAAATACATAAATTTGATAGTCAAAACTTTATTATTTTGGAAATTTTCTCTTATCTAAAATATAGAATGAAGAAAAATGCAGAGTTTTTTGTGATTCTACCTGAGTTCCGCCATGGGAGAACTCTGAAGCTTCCACTCCAAGAACCCAGGAAGCAATCCGTGGTGGTGTTAAACCCAGAAGGACAGTTACAAGAAAATGATTTATACGGCCCAGAGTAGCCGCAGACGCCATTGCTCCTCTCGCAGCTCGCGCACAGCTCCGGGAAGTCATTGTTGAAGTTGAACTTATACTTGAGCGCTATCCCATACTTCCACGCCGCCGGGTTTCCCTCCTCTCCGCCGCCGCCGCCGTTGAAGCCGTACATGGCGGAGTACGACGAGCACTGCAGCTTCTGCAGGTCCATCTCGAACGCCGGCCCCAGATCCACCGGCGTGTACACGCAGCAGCTCGAGATCGGCAGATTCAGGCGGCTCATCGCCTGGCACGCGTAGAGAATGCTGCACACCGGCGCTCCCTAACAAACAGAGCTTTCGATAAACTATTCGTAGACTTCAATTAGCAAACAGAGCTTTTGATAAGTAGTTTTTATAATCAGTTTTTAGAAAAAGGTCATTTTTTATATAATTAACTAAGACCTATCAGGACTATGTGGTCTAATGATATCCGGGTTGGACTTTCATTTGGAAGGTTATAAGTTCAAGTGTTATTGGTTCTTTGTATTTCAGTAGGTTGAGAAAGTATATGAACAGATACTACAATGTAATAGTCCAGTAACATTCAAAAAAAAATTATGCTCATTTGTTAAAGCTTTGATTTCTAAAAAATTATGAACAAGCTTGTTTAGTAATGTTTACTTGTTGAGTTTCGTTGGTTTACAGCCGCAGCCATATATACCTGGGAATCGCACATGGGGAAAGAGGAGTTGGCGCCGCCGGCGGACTTATAGATGGGGGAGGAGGGGACGGCGGAGCAGCCGAGCAGGGCGAAGACGGTGTCGTCGTGGAAGGTGAAGGGCGCGTTCCAGTCGAGACTGAAGCCGCGGCTGGGCTGCGTGCAAGAGCAGGTGGAGAGGGTGGGATCGGAGATGAAAATGGAGTGGTGGTCGTAGTCTATGGCGGTGACGGGGTAGCAGCCGGTGTGGGTGGCGAAAGTGAGCTGGTTGTTATTGCAGGTGACATAGGGCTGGAACCGCGGGTCGCCGCAGCCGGGGGCGGTGCCGAAGGGGTATTTCACGGTCATGCTGCCGCAGGTTTTGGGGCAGACTTGGGAGGATGCCGGAGAAGGGAGAAGGGCGAGGAGGAGGAGAAGAGCGGCGGAGAAAGAGTTGAGGAGCTTCATTGTTGGTGGTTGAGAGCTGAGAATGAAGAAGCTAAGAATGGAACTATGGAAATGGGAGGAGATGTTGCAGAGTATAGTGGTTGATATATATTAGTATTGTCTCTAAAAGTGCTTTTGTGTTTTTGGGGATTGGCATATGGTTCACTTTTGGTTTACTATTTTTGCTGTGATTAGGGGTGCAAATGAACAGAGCAGCTCCGGTGCGTCAAAGTTTGATTTGAGTTCGATTAACTTCTAGTTCAAGCTAAACTCGAGCTGATTTCGAACTCAAATATTTTAAACTTGTAACTTGTCGAGCCCCCCCCCCCCCCCACACACACACACATATATATATATAAAATTATAGCCGAGTCGCTTGGTCAAAGTTCGGCTCGAGCTCGGTCAACTTCAAATTCGAGTCGGACTTGCGCTGGCTCGTTTCATAATCAAGTCAAGCTCGAGTTTCAATTTTAGATCTCGATCGAGTTCGAGCTCGAGCTCGAACCTACCTATTGTTTATCGAGTTCAAGCTCGGCTCGGCTCGGTTACACCCTGACCAGGTAAACTCACCGTTATTATCTCGAAAAAGTGTGTACTAAAAATTTCACGTTATGAACTTAGTGGATAAAGAAATATAAGGAAATAAATTAGTCTAGTTTGTTCATAGGCGGCCAAATTACTAATTAGTCTAGTTTGTTCATAGGCGGCCAAATTACTAGAGGATATATCTGATAATGTTATAAAGTTTTAGGTTAGGTGTTATCTTAAGAAAGTATTACTCGAGGTAAAGGTCAAATTATAATGAGTCTCTTGCGGGAATATATACTACATACTACGATTGCTAGCTTCTAATGAGGCTGGAATTTATAATTTAAAGTTTTGATCTCAAATAGTCAAATCTTTACAATTTATGTAAAGTCTTGAGGTTATCATTGATCCTTTTTATATGGAGTATATGACAAATGTATGAGTCAACTCAAGTCTAGTTGTATTTTTTAAATTAAATTAAAAATCGACTAACATTTTAATAATAAATTACAAATTTTTATTTTAATTATTACAATACACAAATGTTTGAAGATATTTTCATAATAAACCTAAGAATGGACAAAAATCAAACAATTACTTAAATGTAATCTTAAAAATGGCAATACGAATACCAAAAGAGGTCCGTTGACTAAGTAGGTGGAACATGATTCTTGTATTAGAAAGTTATGAATTCAATTTTTGTAAATATCACCTCACTTGTACACACCGCACATAATCTTTCTGGTGTGGTTTATCTCTTTTGTGTGATTTACGAGCTATTACATATGAATGAGGTTTATCTAGTACACAACTACACTAGTAAAAAAATGAACAAAGGGAAAGTGAGATTTATCTAGGTTTGTACAATACAAACCTAGATAAATCTCACTATGTAATAGCTCACAAAAATAGATATATTTACAATACATCTAAATCATTATTTCATTATTTTAGTTAAAGATGATAATACCCATGATTATGCTACCTAATGCCACTATATTCAATGGAAAGGCATCTTTTAACTTCATGCATTTAATTTGTTAAAGATTAATGTCATGTTATTTACATAGACGGAGCCAGAGGGGGGGCGGGGGGGTCAGCTGCCCCCCTCACCCCACCCCACCCCTACCCTATATTGTATATAATATGTATATATAGTACATTATTCATACAAGTATTATAAAACAGATTATGTAAACAAAAGTTGTGATAGACGAGGTGGTAGCTAATGTGTATGAGTTTCAGAATAGCCTGGGTTCACAATGTCATAGTCCTCTTCACTTTTTTGATTAACACAATTAAATTTTGGCATGATATATATAACTTCCATATAACTTTCTTTATATTAATAATGGAATGTGTAATTTATAATGCGTTTTATATTCGAATTGTTTTATCAAATTAATTATGTTTCATATTTTGTTATAAATATTTTTATAAAATTTACTATGTTTTATTTTTCGCTATATCCAACAATATTTATTGTTATACTTTTTAAGTATTTCATTTTTTTTAAATATTCTTTTTTATTTTAATTTTTTTCCCTCACTAAAAAAATTTTCTGAATCCGTCATTGAATCCATCCTTACTTCTTTGCCCCCCCTCAACATATTTTCTGGCTCCGTCCCTGGTTATTTATCATCTAAATTAAAGAAAAAAAGGAAGATGTGTTAGCCCACCCATTGGATAATTTATTGTATTATTAGGTTAAAACTTTACCACATATTTTATTATAATAATAGGGTGACTTTACATTTTTATCTAATATAATATATATATATTTTTTGAGTATGACTAACTCTATTACAATTCATTATCTAATATAGTATAATCACAAGGAATGAAGAAACACAATTACATATAAAGAGTCTAGAAAACTTATTATAAGACACTAGTTAAAAGTATAACAATATATTATGGGTTGTGAATATATGGGACAAGGGTTATTACATGATTGAGTTAGAGAATGATTCTAAGGTATGGTGATTACTCAAAAGATCAAACAAGAAGGCAACTATAGAAATTTGTATTTATAGATTACATCTCAATCTCGAGGGCTCCCATTATTTATGTCTTAGGATTTTGGTGGAGAAAATTAATCATAAAACTTGTATTTTCATCATCTTAAAACAATAAGAGAGGTCACATATGACATATTTACAGAGAGGATAATGTTTTTGTACAAACTACACTAGTAAAAAAATGAAACTATAATTAAAATCGAAATGAAACTGTAGTTGTGTTGAACTGAAACTGCAGTGTATACAAAATGAAACTGAATAACAGAGTTACTTTTTACGGAAGAGTGCAGAACGGCACGAAACGAATGTCGTTTCTTTTCATTAAACAAAACGACATCGTTTTGAAACTCGGTGGATAATCAGTTATGCATCATGGTGCACGATATAATTTGCTGAGATCAAATCCACACCATCAAATTAATAATTTGTATGACCCAAATTAAACACTAAGATTTCCTAATCGTCCAGATTAAATGGACCATTCGACCAATAGTCCAATACATCAAACCCAACGCCCCAAGTCCAATCTGCCCACCCTAAATCCCTAATCGGCTAATCCTTTGGTTCGGTGATTCCCTATCCCACCGGCCTCCGGCAGTCCGGCCGACGCCCTCGATCCTCCCGATTCTCACCTCACCTCACCTCAGCCTCGCCCAGTAGCCCCTTAGCCAGTCACCCATCTGCGCCTGTCTGCCTCACTGTCTCGGCCAATCAGTAAGAAAAAGGTAAATTTGTATACTATTTGATTGCCTTAAATTGAGTTATTGATTACTAGTGAAGAAGGAGTAGTGATAGGTTTTGATTCAATGCTGGTCTAGTCTTAGCTAATTGTTAGTTAGGGATATTACTGTTCTTCTAAGCTTTTGCTATGGAGTTGTGTTGCGTAAAAAGGTAATCTTCTTCACAAAGTAGAATTCTGTTCCTAGTTCATGAAATTCATGAAATAAAAGCTAATTTTAGCAATTATAGATTATAAAATATGAAATAGCTAACTGTAATATAATGTATCAATAATGAACAACAAAATTAAGATTTTAGTTTTCATTATATACCAAAGAGCATGCTTTTATAATAAGATTATACAGTTTTATTATTTATATATCCACTAATAATACATGAGGTTGTTTCTTTACATTTGCTGTTCCTGACCTCAGTCCTCACCATCTTCATGTATTATGTTTCTGCCTTTTTACTTGGTTGTATTATGATGTTTGCTCCCCAACTGTTCAGTGAAATGCTCGATATGTGTTTTGGTTAATGGAGGTCAAACAATGTGAATGCCACATTACATAAGTGTTATTTTTGAATTTTGAAGTATAAAATAAGGTGTGGGAATAGGCTCAGAACTTTGATTTACAGAATTTACGGGAGAGTTCGCAGCTGCTATTCAAAGGTGCTGCTGTGGTTCACCTTGGGTCTGTGGTTTTTGTGATAACAAAATTGATGAATTTGAATTTTAACAACCAAAAAATTGATGAAAAAGATTTTCTAACTAAAGATTTGCCAAGGTTCTCATTGTTCACTTACTAATCTTTTTAAAAAATCATATTCTGTAATAAAGTTGTGTTCAAATTTCTTTTTGCTTAAACTTATATTTAGGAAGATTAGATTGGATTTGTTTATGTTTTCATCAGGACTAATGGCGGGGAAAGTAGTAAAGTCTGTAGCAAAAGCTGTTTCTGAGTACCAATACCCGTTGCAAGATAAGTTGGCAAAATACAAGAACGAGCTCTCAAAGGGAGTTTGGGGTTATTGGGAACTTGGAGCGTGGAAGCCTCTGGGCATCAGTGCTCGTAGGCGAGCCCAACTGCGCAAAGAAGTTCTACTTGCTGGGCAAGATTGGCCGTACGATCCAGAAAGGAAGGAAATGCGAAAGAAGCAGAAAGGGCATAAATGTGACAGAATTGCAGCGGAGAAGCGTGCGAAGACAGCTGAACTAATGCAGCAAATGCCTAAAATGTTGGCAGATTATAGGAAGAGAAGATGGGAGAGAAAGATGAAAGCCGAAGAGGATGCTGCTAGGAAAGCAGTCCAAGAGTAAAGCTCAGATCATTTATTGTTGATGAAAGATGAACCTATTTTGGATTGCTTTCCTCATGAATTGCATATTTGAAATTGGATTGTTTATTTGCTCTTTTTTTTTTTGCATCTTGTTTAGTGATAATTAATGAGTTAATTCCAGCAATAGTCCTCCGACTATATTGATTTTTCAAAATTAGTATCCGACTTTTAATTTAGACACTTTATGTCCCTTGACTTTCAATTTCTTTCCAATTGAGGTCTTTTCGTTAAATTACGGCAAAGTGAACTTTAAATGAAAGGGTAAAGTAGTCATTTCATTTGTCTAATGTATAATTCTTCGTATTTCTTTCTTGTATACGCTATTTTGGACATCAGATTTCCTTAATTGTGAAACTGATGTTTGAAGTCGCGCATACAAGGGAAAAGTTGCGCATACACGACAAAAATACGAAAAATTATATATTAGGTAGATGAAATGACTATTTTACCCTTTCATTTAAAGTCTAATTTACCGTAATCTGACCGAAATGACCTCAATTGGAACAAAATTGAAAATCAAGGGACGTAATATGTCCAAATTAAAAGTTGAAGATTAATTTTAGAAAATCAATATAGTCGGAGGACCATTGTTGGAATTAACTCGATAATTAATTACTCCTTTCATCCCAAAATTATTGTTTTTTTTTATACAAATTTAAGAGTGTTTTTTTTATTATTATTTTTTATTTTAAGTAGGATAATTTAAATGCACCACCGCCAACTAAGGTGATTAAAACGATCTAATTTATTGATAAATCAGTCAAATATTTCCGCATAATACTAAACCATTGTATGAGAAAAAATGATTAGCAATGAAAGAATATGAAATACTCCGCAATTGGCGCAGTCTGAAGATGACGATAGCCCATGGGCAATGCAATGCCAACTGTGCCGACCAGTTTTTCGATAATTTCTATAATTTTTGGTCTAAATTTAAAGATATAACTTTTCGGATTATAACGTTTTTGGTATTAATTAAAAATTTGAAAGTGGATCAGTTTTTCGATAATTCCTATAATTTTTGGTCTAAATTTAAATATATACCTTTTCAAGATTATAACGTTTTTGGTATTAATTAAAAATTTAAAAGTTTTACCTTTCTTGAGATCTTTTACCATTTTAGAATTTTAATACTGCGCCCTTTCGATCTCATCCATTGTGTATAAATACAAGGCCATTCACAACCCATTAACTCATTGGTTTTTGCAAATCATCATCACTTTCATTGTCAAATCATTGTAACTTTCATGGCTGCAACAGGGGAAGTTAAGGTTTTGGGCACGTGGTGGAGCCCTTTCGCGCTACGCACCATCATCGCTCTCAACCTCAAGTCTGTGGACTACGAGTTGATTGAGGAGACGTTTGTTCCCAAGAGTGAACTTCTCCTTAAACTAAACCCGATTTTCAAGAAAATCCCAGTCCTCGTCCATAATGATAAGCCCATTTCTGAGTCTCTCATCACTGTTCAGTACATCAATGATGTCTGGACTTCTGGGCCTTCTATTGTTCCCTCTGATCCTTATGATTGTGCCATCGCCAACTTTTGGTCATATTATATTGATGATCAGGTATTGGATCTTTATTTTTTTTAAAAAAATTTTTTAATTTGGGTTTCTCTAATTAAATATAGTGTTTGATACAATTCTTGATTTATTGGTGCAGTTGATCTCAAATTTGCGTGCAATATCGGCTGCGGGGGATGACAAGGTAGCCAAAAAGGCTGCAATAGACAAGGTTGTTGAAGGGCTAGTGCCTTTGGAGGAAGCCTTCAAGAGCATAAGCAATGGCAAGAAGTTCTTTGGTGGAGACACTATAGGATACTTGGACATTGCATTGGGCAGCTTCATAGGATGGTTTAAGGTTGCGGAGGCGTTGAACGAGGATGTCAAATTGCTCGATGAGACCAAGGTTCCCAATTTGGTGAAATGGGTTGGAGATTTCGTTGATGATAGTGCGGTTAAGGATGTGTTCCCCGCCATTGACAAGTTGGTTGAGTTCGCGAGGGTGTTCTTGAGCAAAAGAACATAATCGTCTTAGGTTGTTGTTTTGTTGTTTGATACCCATTTTGGTTTGTTTGTTCTCTAGCACAAGTCATTGGCTCATTGTTCTTGTTTTCTTGGTCTGCCCATGAGACCTATGCATGGGGAATAAAGTTTAATTATGCCTTTTTTATGCTTTTGATTATATATTGTGTGCATTGCATTTATCTTGTGTAATAAGCCTACAAACTATGCACGTGTGTAATAGTTTTCAAACTACGTTCATGTATAATGGTTTATAAATTATATTATACTCATGTGTAATTGTCTTCAAACTATTATAGAGTCATGTGTAATATCTTGCAAACTATTATACACTTGTGTATAGTAATAGTTTGTAAAATATAATGCACTTGTGTGTAATAGTTTGCAAACTAAACTCATTTGCAACAGTTTGCAAAAATGCACTTGTGTGTTATAGTCTAACTACACTCATTTGTAAGTTTGTAAACTAGGTACACTCGTTTAATCGTCTACAAATTAAATTCATGTGTATTAGCCTACAAACAACACTCATGTGTAATAGTTCACAAGCTATAATTTTGTGTAATAGTCTGCAAACTACACTCTTTTGTATTAGTCCACAAGAAACTCTACACAAATTACACTCTTATGGTAATAGTCCACAAACTACACTACTTTGTGAATACCCTCCTATATAATAATTTACAAACTACACCATTTTGTAATAGTTTGCAAACCATAAGAGAGAAGTAAACTGCACTACAAAGCATGGTTGCAGTAAGCGCTCAACGCTAATTGGCGGGGGAGGGTGTATGTATATATATATATATATATATATATATATATATATATATATATATATAGTTTTAAAAAATTAGCAAGGCCGAATTCGTCACCAACCCGACTGAGTTGGGTGTCTAGGTTGATTTTTAAAATAGTGCTAGAGAAACTTGATGTGATAAATTTGATCAAGTATTAGTAAGATTTAAACTGGTGACCTTCCTCCATTCACTTGGCCACCTTTTCATTACAATTTTTGCCTATTTTGGTTAATTTATATGAATGTTCAATTATTATTATGTGGACCATATTTCATAGCACTGTGCGCCGCGCGCCTCCCAAAACAACGTCGTTTTGGGGTAGTGTTGGGAGGCGCGGTAGGAAGTTGCTGAGATTATGTGTATTTGTTCACAACGTTATGTGTATTGGTTCATACAGTTATGTGTATTTTCTATACAATTATTTACATTCTTTTTATACAATTATGTACATCCGAATCAGAAAATTTGTGTGTATTATGTTAAGAGTTGATGTGTATTATGTTAAAAGTTTATGTTTATTAAGTATTATGTTAGATTATGTGTATTATCTTTTAAAAAGAGTATGTATATTTTGTTATATAATTATGTACATTCATGTATAACATTATGTGTATTCTAGTATAACATTATGTACATTCTTGAACAGCGAGTTTTTTTTTAAAGAAAAAACTACTGTCATTCACTGGGGCGGAAAATTTAAAAAAAAAAAATAATTAAAACGACGTCGTTTTGCATCTGGGCGCATAGTGCAACGCACGCCATGGTGTAGGATATAAATTGCCATGTTCACTGCAGGCCTACAGCCTTTGAAATTGGGCCAATCCGTTCTCTCAGAAGGCCGACCCAATTAACGGAGTTTACGATGATGGCTTACCAAACGGCGCCGTTTTCCATCCCGCCGTCAAAGTCGCCAGATAAAAATATTGCCATCTAACAGATTCCCGTAACTGCACACTCTTCCATAGTTCCATCACACACAAGATTCTCCGTCCCCACAGCTTCTCCGTTCGCTCGCACGTTCCATTCCTCCACCCACCACCGTCACATCCCCGTCACAAAATCCTCCGCCCCGCCCAATCCCATTCTTCCACGTCACCATCTCACTTCCGTTACATCATCGGAGGAGTGGTCCGTCACTATCATTACCTCACCGCCACTCCATCACACCTTCACCGCAAATCAAAAAATCTCTATCCCTTAGCGCATTTCGATCGCCGACGTCCGGCGAACTCGCCGGCCATAGTCTCTCCGTGCGTAGTTCCAGCATTGCGCGACTCGAGTGGATAGCGAGATGGGGGTTGATTACTACAAGGTGCTGAAAGTATCGAAAACTGCGAGCGAAGAAGACCTGAGGAGATCGTACAAGCGGCTGGCGATGAAGTGGCATCCGGATAAGAACAGCGAGAACATGAAGGAAGCGGAGGCGAAATTCAAGCAGATTTCGGAGGCTTACGATGTGCTCAGCGACTCGCAGAAGCGGCGGATCTACGATTTGCACGGCGAGAAGGCGTTGAAGTCCGGCCAATTCGATCCCCCTGCGTCTCCGACCAGGACAAGCAGCGGCAGAGCTGGAAGAGCGTTTAACTATACTCCGCGTGATGCGGAGGATATATTTGCGGAGATTTTTGGCGGATCCGATGCAGGATATAAAGGGAGTCCTGTTAGCTGCGGTGCTAGAGGAACGCCGAGGAAGGCGGCGGCGGTGGAGAACCAGTTGCCTTGTAGCTTGGAGGAGCTCTACAATGGCTCCACGAGGAAGATGCAGATTTCTAGGATTGTCCTTGACGACACTGGGTATGTAATCCTTACAATACTCCATATTAGTTTAATTCTCTGTGAATTTTTTTGTAGTTTGTGCCAAAATGTTTAGCTCTTTAAAGCTAAATTAGGATCTATAAAAATCACTGTAGTAAACAGAGTAATTCAATAAATAATCCTACTAATGAAGAAAATTTTGCTATGCTGTATGGGTAAAACAACAAATAATTAAGGTGTAAATAATCAAGCTTACTGGTAACTTACACTCAATTCTAGATTTGAAGTATGTCAATGCTGTATAGTAGAGATTCTTGAGTTCTGGTTAGTCACTTGTGAGCAGAAAAATTCTTACATTTTAGGTGCAATGGAGTTTAGGAACTTTTTAAGTGAAACTAGGCAGCTTTGCCAGGTTTTCTGACTGTATCTCCTATGAGGAATATTAAGGAACGTTTCAGTTGATTAGTGAACACACCCTAAAGCCCTCTATTGATTTGTGTTCTTGCGGCTCAGTTGTGGTTGATGTCTGGTGAACACTGACAATATAGTTAAAAGATTAGGTTTTAATGATGGAAGAGAGGATTTCCAAGAAAACATATGGTGATCTGAATTTGCGATGACAAGATTTTCATTTGAATGAGTGATGAGGGAAACCTGTAGCCACTACCCGAGGGTATGAACTGTGTAAACCCCACATTGTGATCCTAGCTGGCAAAGGACCACAATGAGGTAAACCAGCCTACTTTGCCTTGCCTATAGCTGCTCGGCTCAAATCAAGAAGGCCAGTAATAGACCGCTCTCGCTGGGAGTCAACAACCTGACCAATTTGGTTGGGTTCCCCCAAGATTTTCATTTGTTTCTTATTCACATTGGTCATTGAATCTAACTTTCTCTTGGACCATGCTATCTCTCTGATCATACTTTATGGTTTCTGTCATGAAACCAAAATCGTGGTTGCAGTAAGCCCACGACAGTGGAAGAGGTGTTGGCAATCCAGATCAAATGTGGTTGGAAGAAAGGAACCAAGATTACATTTCCTGAGAAAGGGGACTACGAATTTGGAGCTGCACCGGGAGACCTGATTTTTGTCGTAGACGAGAAGCCCCATCCTGTATTCAAGAGACATGACAATGATCTTGTTGTCCGCCACAGAATTTCCTTGCTGGATGCTCTGACAGGGAAGACCATCAAATTGACAACTTTGGATGGGAGAGATCTTGCAGTGCCAATTAGGAATGTTGTGAAGCCAGGACAGGAACATGTAATCCCAAACGAAGGAATGCCAATATCAAAGGAACCAGGCAAGAAAGGGAATTTGAGGATCAAGTTTGATATCAAATTCCCTTCAAGGCTCAGTGCAGATCAGAAATCTGATCTGAAAAGGATTCTGGGCAGGCCTGCTGAATAAAGAATGCAAATTGGTTTTTATCACTTACCCAGAAAGGGGATTTTCGCAATGCCAATGTAAATATTTGCGCGTATAGATCCTCCGGCCTTAGCTTGCAATTGTATTAGTATGCCACTTACCATTTGTTCTAAATTGGTGAGTTTATACAAGAAAGAAAAATTGTGCATAGTAGAAAGTAGCAGTAGACCAGCTGCCACCATTTTATTATGGTTGTGGATGTGTAGACCAAGCTAAGAGTGATGCAATCAAGAAAACATAATTTTGGAGAAATTTGTGTGGCTCCTAAGCTGAAACTTTTTGTTTACATGACCATTTGTCTCATAACTTATAATATTAATAGATTGATTTGTTTGTTCTAACACTTAATGTGCGTCTTTGTAACACTTAATAAACTATACTATTTTTAGCTTTTGTTTCTTCTTTCTAGACGTGCTTTTAAAAAAAAATTCATAAATTTATTTTTTTGAGCCGTTGGTTTAGGGCTTAAACTCACTGCATGTTCTATATATATATATATATATATATATATATATATATATATATATATAATCGCCTATTTCTTAAGAGTATTCTCATGAAATCAAACCTTATTATATTCAATCTCTGTAGTCAACATCTTAAATATTGTAAAGTAAATTCCTTCTGTATTATGGCCTCAATAGATCGACTCAAAAAAGAGAAGAAAAAGAAAGAATTTATTCATATTCTCCCTTTTACCTTTATATTCACGATAAATAATGTCTCGTGCATTGAGTACGTGGATTATTATATATGCATGGCTGCTATTTTGTTCCAAAAATAAATATTCCACACAACTATACTATCACACAAATCGTTGATATATGTTCTAATCAGTTTTAACCGCTCAGTTATACGCAACCAATATTAGTTTAGTTGTTTGTTGGTTAGAGATTCGATACGACTTTAAATACTGTACTCAAAACATATTTTCGAATAGTGATTGCAGTCAGCTCAAGTATTAAGGCAATCGTAATTGTTAAGAGAACTTTTATATGTTATGTAATATAGTAATTTGATGTTGTTGAAACCTAACATAAATACTAAATACTGAGAATCCAAAAAAAAAAAAAAAATCCTTTTCAACATTAAGCATTCTCACCTAAAAGATGTCTAAACTTCACAAGTTAGGTAAAAAATGAGTTAATTACCAAAATGTCCCTTGACTATAGCGAAATTACCAATTTGGTCCTTGACTATTTGTTTTAACCAATTAAGTCCCTCAACTTTAAAAATTTTAACCAATTTGGTCCTCCGTTAGTTTGACCGTTAGTCAACCGTTAACTTGAGACCAAATTGGTCATTTTGCTATAGTCAAGGGAGCATTTTGGTAATTAACTTTAGGGGTGGGCAATTCGATTTAGTTTTCTCGAATCGAACTGCACCGAACCGAACCGAACTAGTTTGGTTCGCTAATATACCGAACAACCGAACGGTATTGGATTCTTGTATATTGAACGGTTCGATAAAAAATCGATCCGAATTTTTTGGTAAAAAATTAAACTGAACCAAATACCGTTTGATTTTTTTTAAAAAATATGATAATAATAATAATAATAATAATAATAATAATAATAATAATAATAATAATAATAATAATAATCATCATCATCATCATCATCATCATCATAATAATAAATAAAAAAAATAAATAAAAAGTAAATCCAAGTCCCTTGCTGCTTGCTTTGCCGTTCAGCTCATATTCTCACAGGTATCTCTCGTAAATATTTTATTTGATTTCTTTATGGTTTGTTATCAAAAGTTCTATATTATGTGTTATGGTGTTTACATAGTCTATATCCAAAGTCTAATATACAACAAAATAGCAATCCAAAGTTCAAACGGTATTCGGTTCGATTTTTACTGAACAATTCAGTTCGGTTCGAGTTTTTACCGAACCATTCAGTATATAAGAATCTATTACCGTTCGCTTGTTCGGTATATTACCGAATCTAACTAGTTTGGTACGGTACGATTCGAGAAAACTGAACCGAATTGCCTACCTTTAAAGTTAATTACCAAAATGGTCCCTTGACTATAGCGAATTACCAATTTGATCCCAAGTTAACGGTTGATTAACGGTCAAATAAACGGAGGACCAAATTGGTTAAGCTTTTTAAAGTTGAGGGACTTAATTGGTCAAAAAAATAGTCAATGACCAAATTGATAATTTCGCTGTAGTCAAGGGACCATTTCGATAATTAACTCGGTAAAAAATTGATCCACCTAAAAAGAAAGAATTGATTCATATTCTCCCTTTTAGGTTTAGATTCAAGATAGATAGATAGATAGACAGACAAAGCATAACATTGAGTACGCGGATTATCATATATGCATGGCTACAATTTTGTTCTAAAAATAAATATTCCACAAAATTACTATCACACAAATTGTTGGTATTCCATCATTCCATGTGCTAGTAGAAGAAAATATTTATGAAATATAAAATAAAATCATATATCACATTTATTAAATTTAATTTACAAAATCTATTTTTTTCTTCTTATTTTTCATTATTTTTCAACATTGAGATCTATTAGATCGATGACTAGCATTTGTCCACTCTTCACACTTCTTACTTGAAAGTCTTGTTCTCATGGGTGACAGATTAACATGCCACACATACACACACACATACGCACATAATAGAAGTGTTCAATAAATGTTTTCTGTCCAAATTTGTATAATACACTGAATTTCCTTAATAAATGAGATTATAGAAAAAATCACACTTTTCATCCCTCAATTATACACGTTGCAACATTTTATTACTTAATTGTTTACAAAGTGGTTTTTTTTTTTTTTTTGGTCCCAGCCCGAGTTCAATTATAGTTAGGTTAAAAGTCATTTTGCAAACAATTGAGAGATGAAAAATAGTATCAGGGAGGAAACTTGTTTTTTTTTTTCTATATAATTCGCGATGAAATGTGTCATTTTACCTTGAATTATGTGAAAATTATATATAATACATTATTATTGGTTTTTAATATCTTTTCATTCTTTAGAATTTTTTTATTTAAATTCTTTATAGTACTCTTATGTGCATTCCAAGAATAAAACACTAGTATGTATAAATTAAAAACAATTATTAATACTAATTAATTAGTACTAATTAAGAACAGCCAATGTCCAACAATTTATTTGTACTTGATGGGAATTTGTCATGGAAATTAATGCCAAATAATCTCCTTTCAACATTAAATTTCCATTTGTGAAGTATCTATCATGACGTTGGTATTTAGTACCTATGTTTGAGAATCTTCTTCTGAAGAACATCCTTATCTGCACCCACAACCTTATCAATCACATTCCCATTCTTCACCAGTACAAATGTGGGCATTGCCTGCACCTCAAAGTATTGTGCCACATCCTGCATTATATTCATTCATGTTAGGGAAAAAAGGAAGAATGTTAATTAATTAGTAACAATTATTCTTTTTTTTTTGGGTGACGAAAGAAATTTGTAGTCACTAATTGAGGTGTGTACCAGGTAATTAAATATCGCTCATAAGTAATAACCCACAATCAACTCATAACCAGTATTCCAGTGTGTGCACTAGTTAAACCCAACTCTTATTTAATAGCCCGCAATCCATAACAGTTATTTGTTTTTAATTTTTTTTTTAATTGGGTGATAAGGAAAATGGTAACCACTACCCTTTTTGGGTGCACACCAATCATTATTGCGTGGACCACAGTCCAAAAACACATAAAGTACATTATTCTAACACAAAATATATTATCTTATCCCAGAAATTTCATTCTAACATATAAAATACATTATTCTAACTCATAAAATACATTATCTTACCCTAGAAGGTTCATTATTGTAACAAAACCGCGCAGAGCACGAAATTTTGTTTTTTTTTTTTTTTTAATGTCAAAACGATGTCGTTTTGGATCGTTGTCCATACAGTTGTGTAGACCAGGACCCACACAATAATTTGCCGGGTGTACACCGGATAAACTTCACTTCATTACTATCTAATAATAGCCCACAAACCATAATTATTCTTTTTTTTTTTCCAGTTGACAAGGGATCGGAAATCGTAGTCACTATCTAAGGGTATCCACCAGGTAACCCACACTCCTATTGTAATAGCTAACAAATCATAACAATTATTCATTTTTTGAGTTACGTAAAAAATCCGCAACCACTATCTTATGCACATAAAACCCCGTATACTAACTTACAAATTACATAGAAAACTGAGGTAGTAAATAACATTAAAAAGACCATATCCTATCCACTACTTGAGCTTAACTAAAAAGGTATTAGCAAAAGCTTCAGACACTAAATGTTTCACCCAATCAATCATGTAATTCTTTCGGGACACAATTATTATATTGATTTAGTAAATAACATATATACGTACAGGAAGTTCATCGACATCTATCTTGACGAACTCCACATCTGTATATTGAGCGGCGAACTCATTGATGGTCGGTTCCATACGCTTGCAGGGCCCACACCACGTAGCTGTGAAGTCAATAACCATCTACCAAATAAAAATAAAAAGGAAATTAATATATCATTTAGCTAGATCATAGGCTAATCACACCAGGAAAATCTTAAACTTTTAACTACAAAAAGTGATTAAAAAAAATATACAAAGTTTTTGACATATATTGTTCCCCCATAAGACATGCATATATAATAATCTTACCAGTTTGTTGGTTTGTTTTGAGTTATCAAAATGGAGTTTCCATTGTGATGAAGAATGGAAGGCAGTGACAAGAGGCTTCTTGGGTGGTGATGATCCAGAGAATGGGACAAAGGATCCTGGCAAAGTACTGGAACCGTTGTTTCCCATTTTTCTTCTCTAAAAAGAGTGGACAAAATTCTAATATATTTCCAACTTCTTTCAATGGTCTTTCTTGGTTTGGTCATTGGGAATTTGGGGGAAAGCCCCTTTATATAGATTTTTTTTTAAAAATATATATATAATCAGCACAGGTAACAATAGTATCAAGCTTATTGAAATTTTTGACTTGAAACGATCAGCTATGCTCAAATTATACTAATTTACTTCATTGTAACCTTTTACCGGTTAGGGCTACTAGGATATCAACTACAGGCTTTCCTGTAATTCAAAGTTACAACTAAACATAATATATATATATATATATATAATTGTATTAGATAATATTGGCACTTGTGTTATAAATGTCTGGCTCCCTACAATCAAGTCTGTTATATTTAATTGTATCGAAGACACTGGTATTTATGTTAGTACCGTACATTACAAGAAAATTTTAATAGAAAAATATGTAGGTTAATTAAATCCATAAGTATTTAATTTACCAATAGATTTTCAAAAATAAAACACTGAATTTCATAAGTATTACTAGTTGATGCTATACTATATAATAAACCAATAACGAAAAATATATGAAAAGTGCATATGAGAATATATTCTAGCTAGGAATAACGTAACTCTCAACCTGTGGTCCATTTTTTTTAGGGTTTTTATGGGCATATATATGTGGTTTTGACTTTATTGCAATTTGTTTACTTTTATCATCATATGCATGCACTTCCTTTGAGAGAATAATATGTTCAAATTCAACATGATCTAATTAGGGACTAATTAGTCATAATTAGTTTAATTAAAAATAGAATATAATGTCAACTACTATGTAGTGTGATTACACTTTTATTACCATTCCAAATAGGTGGTCACAGGATCAAAATAAATATTACTTATATAGTGTGATTACACCTCTGTTACCATTCTAAATAGGTGGTCACAGAATCGAAACATATACTACCTTGTACAGAATCATGATTGTTTCAAAAAAAAAGAATATAGCATAATGTATGCCATATAGGTCTTAACTGGTAATGCTTATTCTTCCTAATAATCCATTAAAAGCCAGCCATTCAATTTTAATATAATTTTTTTTTAAAAAAAAATATTATGAAATAATTGTTCTAAATGTACAGTAAATTAAAGTTATAAACTTTACAAAATGGATTTGTTCCTACACCATCATGCGCAGTGAAAGATTACCAACACTAACAAAGCTCACAAATTTCGGCCATCTATAAATTAACAAGAATATTTCAATTGTACTAGTGTGCTATATGCCAATTCTCCAATAATGCCTTGAAAGAATAGTCACAAAGTTTGATTCTTGTCAACATCTTTTCTGTCGAACCCAGTCAGTCGTGATTCGTGAGTTATGCTTGTGCAGACAAGGGATTCGCCCACTTCTTTTCTGTCGAACCCAGTCAGTCGTGATTCGTGAGTTATGCTTGTGCAGACAAGGGATTCGCCCACTTCTTTTCTGTCGAACCCAGTCAGTCGTGATTCGTGAGTTATGCTTGTGCAGACAAGGACACTGTGGTTGCCAAGGTTTGAATCCTGGTCTCTTCTTCCAAATATTGTTTACTGATGAGTAGTAAACCAGTGAGCTAAACTCGTGCAGACAACATAGTATATAGCTATTATTACTAAATGTTATGGTAACCGATCTCAGTCAAGTTGTTGACTTATCTCCTCATTACACGAACACATTATTACATACATATATATATATATATATATATAGACAAAAGAAATAAAATAAAATAAAAATCGACCATTAAAAGCATCTCAGTCTCACCTAAAAGATGTCTTATGTGTAACTTCACAAGTTGTACATCAAAACTGATGGACAAAATGGATTGGCGGCGCAGCAAAGATAAAAAGGGTTACCGTATGCCAATCAAACACAACATTGGCATGGATACCTTGTTTTGAAATTGAATAGTTTTTAGATGTAAACTAACGACCTAACACCTTAATTGTTTTAATATTCTAAGAATCTAAGAGTCATACGTTGGGTAGATATTGGATATGATATTGATGGAGTTATACCATAAATTTATTAGAATAATAAATTGAGGGTTGACAAGATTTTATGTCTTGTGATCTTTAAGACTGAAAATTCGATCCGACCATGAAGGTTTTATTCTCGGCATCGTGCCACTACTCTAGACATTACATTAGTGTTTAGCATGCGTCACCAGCAGCACACCACCACGTCAGACTTATCAGTAGATTCCAACATGTGCTCCATGCTCCGCGGATACTATAAATAGAGGTCTCCCACAACTAGTTCATAGACTTGTTTGTTGACTTCTTAGTACAATTCCTAACTTTGCTGAGTCTCATCTTGTATTCTTGTATTTAAGAAACTACTACTTCGACTCATAAATTTTTTTGTTCTTTCTTCAATATATCTTAAGAGTTAATAATACTTAAATTCTACCATAAATTTTACATAACGTACACATCCCAATTCCCAAGCCTAATTTCAACGCTAAGTAACACGATAGTTGATAGAATCTCAAAAGAGTTAATACCCAAAATCGTCCTCGACTATAGTGGTTTTTCTCAATTTCGTCCTAAACGACTTTGGTGACCTAATATCGTCCCAGACTTTTGTGTTTCGCTCAATTTAGTCCTCCATTTGTTATTCCGTCAAATTGATGTTAAATAAAGGGACAATTCAGTAATGTCAATATTGATCTCTCTTTACTTTCAACTTGTGAAGTGCGAAATTCCTCTTTCTTGTACGAATTACACCCAGAATTACTCCCGGACCTGCAAATCAAATTTTATATTCGCAGTTTTAGGAGTAATTCTGGGAGTAATTCGTAAAAAAAAAAAAGGAATTTCGCAGTTCACATGTCTATGAGTAAAGAGATGCCAATATTAAAATTACTGAATTGTCTATTTATTTAACACCAAATGGACAGAATAACAAATGAGGGACTAAATTGAGCAAAAACACAAAAGTCTGGGACTAAATTGAGCGAAACACAAAAGTCTGGGACGATATTAGGTCACTAAAGTCGTTTAGGACGAAATTGAGAAAAACCACTATAGTCGAGGACGATTTTGGGTATTAAAGGTATACTTTTAGGTTTTAAGATAATTACATTCTTAAAGTTTAATTTGAACTCAAAACTTTTAATTAAATTAGAAGAGATCAGTTTCGTCCCATCTTATCTAACACTTTAATGAGTGGAATGCATCATTGCATCAACAAGCATTGAGATTGGAATCCATTAATTTGACAACAACTTTTGCATTGTCACCGCCCACTTCATAAATATATTCCATAATCCTTAGAAATGACAAGTGATAAATTGAAAGGAATTGAAGTAATTTAACAGTGTTTGAACACTTGAACCGTAGAATATGGTCCAAAATTGACTACTAATATGCATTTTTTTAAAATTAAAGAAGAATGCATTCAAGGTCTGAAAACAAAACATTACAAAGAAAGGAATGGGTTAAGGATGATCAACTCAATTTATACAATTAGAAAAAGAAAGAGCATCTTTAGTTCACAACTGAGCGATCCTGTTTGCTGATCGTTTAGCAAACAAGATACGTAAACACGCATTAGGAAAAATACGTAGTAATAAGTCTTTAATATCAAGTAAAAGTAAATCAAATCGTGAATCAAAAGTCCTAGAATTCAACCCTTGAACAATCTGTAAAGCATCAGATTCAATCTGAATATACATATTCATCATTTTTAACATATTGCTGGTTCATTTTTATTGTAATATATATAGGCTCGTTTTTATTAAGTTTATTACATTTTGATATATATATATATATTTAGGAGCGTTATGCCATGGAACCGTGTTCACCATTCATGGTGAACACGGTTCCAACGGTGTTAGTACATCGTTATTTTTTATTTATTTTTTTTCTTCTTAATTAATTGCGTGACTTTTCTTCTTCATTTTCACATTTTGCGGTTTCACTTTAATTTGAGGTGAACAATGATTTCGGACATTCATAAATTATGAATTCATGCCTGCACATTCACTTTGGAACCATGCCTACACATTCCCGTCGAAATCACGGACATTCATAAATTATGAATCCATGCCTGCACATTCACTTTGGAACCATGCCTACACATTCACTTTGGAACCATGAGATTATGAATTTTCTGTTATAAGATTATGAATTTTCTGTTATGAGATTATGAATTTTCTGTTATGAGATTATGAATTTTCTGTTATGAGATTATGAATTTTCTGTTATGCGATTATGAATTTTCTGTTATGCGATTATGAATTTTCTGTTATGCGATTATGAATTTTCTGTTATGCGATTATGAATTTTCTGTTATGCGATTATGAATTTTATGAAAATTCATAATCTCATAACAAAAAATTCATAATTTGATCAACGCGCGCCGTTAACTCCACATCCGCGAATTTTTTTTTTTTTTTTTTGCCTAAAAACGACGTCGTTTGGCCTTGTGTTCACCATTCACGGTGAACACGTTTCCAGGGCATAATTTGCCATATATTTATTTTTAGTGTACAACTTAAAAATGAGCATAAAGTATACTAAAAATAAATATGTAGTAAGTATATTAGAAATGAACATATATTAGTAGTTTACGATACAATTTGTTGCAATTTAAAGAAAATAAGTTAAATATATAATTTTTGAATTGCCAAGTACCTTGTGCTTAGATGGCATGTAATGACTTTTTTATATGGAAGGTTATGAGATCGAGTCTCAATGGAGATGGTGTTGACTTTTTGTACTTCAACAAATTAAAAAAATATAAATAAATAGATACTACAATATAATAGAGTCAGTAGCTTTAAAAAAAAAAAAAATTGCTTCCTAGTGTCCCATGATGATCATTTTAGAGCTCGCAGCCCCTAGATGATATTGTGACTACGCTCACAATATATCACACCCTACGTTAATAAGTTTTCTTAACCTTTTCCAAAAAAAAAAAAAAAAAAAAAAAAAAAAAAAAACGGAATTTTTGCGAAAAGTAAGTTCACTGCGTGGGGCATATATACACTGAATTATTCTCCTTGTCACCAACTTGGCAACTAGAACATAGAACCGTGCCCCCATCATCTGCAACTTCAAAGGAATTCCTAGAGAACATATATACCACCATTCAAATTTGAATAATACTATAGGGTATCCAATGTTTTATTTATTTATTTATATATATATATATATATATATATATATATATATATATGTATGTATGTATATATGTATATGTATGTATGTATATATGTATGTTAGTGATCATATGAGAACCATCCTTTCCAAGAGTCTATGAGAACCGATACATTAAAAAGTTAGATCTATGATGAGATTAGTTGGATGTTCAAAATTCGCGTGTGCACATAAGGCATGCACTATGTGCATATCTTATGTTGCAAACAACGCATGCTTAATATGCACACGTAAATTTTAAATCTCCAATTACACACAACACATGCTTAATATGCATACGCAAATTTTGAAACACCAATTGCACACAACACATTTGGACCCCCAATTGATCTCATCCATAGATTTGTTTTTTCAATGCGCTAGATTAATTTTCATTGACTAATGGGAAGATGGTTCTCATATGAGCATCACCCTATATATATACATAATTTTTAAGTCATGCATGTTGCAAGCTATTACACAAAAACACAACTTACTCAATACACACTATCAAATAGTGACTACATGTTTCCTCCATCTTAAAATAAATCTCTCGTGAAGTTTACAGACTATTGCATAGGATCTCGATGTACACTCTTAGGTAGTGACTACCCATTCTTGATCTTTATTCAGATGAGATGAGAAATGTGTATCTTGTATAAAAGTACAGATGCCATATGTTACTATATTTGCAAGAAAATGCTCATTTTTTATTGAATTGATTATATTAGTCAAAATTTATGGGTGCACATATAATATTTGCACCATTTTGAAAGCAAAAAAGGCTTTTCAGTCAGTCTCCCAGGAAAGATAAAAGAGAACAGATATCTACCCATCAAATGGTTCCATGATGCATCTGAATCCTTGTGAACTCCAATAATCGCAGGCAGTGATCTTGCATGCACTCATAAATGGCCAGATGCAGAGATGCTGAGATAGTTTACTGGTTAAAGTAGGCTTTGGATCAATGGTCTACTTCCTCACAAAGTTCTGCTTTTCCTCGATATACATACAGAATCTCTCCCATCCACGTCTGCAAAACATTGAATCGAGTAAAATATGCAGCAATCAGACTGTATAGGTAGGTTAGTGATTCAAGCAACACATTCCATTCCCGGTAGTTGTAATTCTTGTTTAGACCGTTTTCTAGGCGATGACAGCTTAAAAGAGGCATCGCCCTTTAGCCTTTGACACACTGTACTCCATACTACACCAAGCAACGAAGTTGAAAACTTACATCGTGTCTAAAGGAAATCCTCATGTTAGGTACATTTGTCTTGTGAATGTCATTTCCTCCGGGGCCTCTCTTGTAATATTGGTTCCCAAGCCAATGCAACTGCAACAGTTACCAAAAAGCAGCAGCGTTATTGATAAAATCATAAATAAATCTATTACCAATCATCTCTTAAACGTGATACTGATCCATTTTGAAGTCAGAGAAAAGACCCTAATGTGCAAACAAATAACGACCATAACTTTAAAAAATTAATTAGCTTTCATGTTGTGTGATAAGAACACATCTAATTCCTTAACATCATGACAATGATGGAAGTCTCCAAGAATAAGAACTTCGAAATCTGGAAAGTACATATACCTTGTCTGCGTGTGAAAATCCCGACTGGTAAACAGAATTCCTTGCAATCTCGCAAAGGTCGCATGCATTCAGCTTCCAAACCTGGATTAATATAACTCAGCAAGGTACATAAACACCAATGTGATCTTATAACTAATATAAGAAATACAAGTAGACTGACTTTAGCTGCAACACTGTATTCTTCGACAAGAGGCTCCTTTGTCAAATGAATTTGCAAAGGGTCATCAGTTGAAAGCGAAACATTCAACCCACGCTGGAAGAACATATAAAAAGGGTTGCGATGGTAGTCCAGGAAAAGTGAATTGTTACTTAGAGGAGACATTGCCAGCCCCACCTGAAAAATCATGTGGATCTCAAACCATTATAGGCAAACCAAACAGAAAGATACAGAAATTAAGGAGAAAATGACTGCATGCAACACTAGAACGAACAGAAAAAGAAATCCATCTTTAAATAATACTCACAAATCCACAACTTTACTAAGCTGTGTCTTGAAAAGGAGAATTGTAAACAGTATAGAATCCTCATAAACTTATAATGAGGTGCATGGATTTGCAAAATTCCATATAGTAAGCACATGCACCATTGCAATTAGGAAAATGTGGTGATGAAGTATGTGCATTCCATTGTATGAACAAACCACAGAATAAACAGAAGAGATATATTTTCTATGTGTCCATTTAAATAATATGTGTGGCATATCAATAAGCAAACCTGAGCAAGGAAGTACAGATACTGTAAAACGGGTGATTTGCGCAAATTGATTCCATGAGAAATGTTATGACATAAAAGAAATCCAGCAGCTAAATGGTCAATTTCGCCTGCCTGCATGAATAAAAGGTGTGTGAAATATTAGCCAATACCACAAAGCAAGATGTTTTCTAGAATCAAACTGAACACCAACCTCCCCACAATGAGGTCGAAATCTGATTGTTGGCAATCCCTTTGATTCACGAAGCTGAGAGCATAGAAGATACACATGAATTTAATACATAGTTCCATAATAGACGAAGGAAAATTCATTCAAAATTGTCATCATGCTTTAACCCAAAAAGCAAATCTTGCGATTGTGCGCATGTCAGGTGCTATTCATGTGGCTTATTGTACTGCTGTTTGAATTTTCAAATAGACACTTTCTGGAGACCTATATGGCTATATTCATTCTTTGAAAACTGTCATCTTGTGCTTTGACCAATAAGCAAAAATGTTCAACTGGAAAATGCATCTGTGAATATTAGCATTTAGCATGTTAATTAATTTTGAGTCAAGAAGCCCCACTGACCTTATTGAGTGTGAACAAGTTTGCATAACAGTAATAGGCATAATAAGAGAATGCAGGATTGAACACATTTGTCCATTCAGCTGGGGTTGGCATGTGTTTGGTAGGCCGCCTTTCTGGTTTACTTTCATCATCAACAATGTCAAAACCCACAACCTATATAGGAAACAATAACCCGGTTAAAGCCAATATCATGAAGGAATTTCCATGTAAACCTACCAAGGGCCAAATAGAACACTAAACTTCGCATCCAATTATCAGGAATTAAAAAACAGTGGTGAAATATGGGGAAAAATAAATAAATAAATAAATAAAAGAGCCCAACGTAAGTATAACCTGCATTAGGAACAAATGCAATTGAGGATGCGAATTTGGATCAACAGTGACTTCAAAGAGTGGAATGAATACATTATCCAAAATATTCTGGAAGGATGTAACAGTTCCCATGCCCCTGTAGACATTGTATAGCCGTGGTAACTGCAGCATTCATTGTGAGAAACCAAAAATGTGTTACTTTTTAAAGGATGATAAGCTCAGGCACCCCAGGCAGTGCAAGAGTTGAAGGGAGCTACAAATGTATGTGCTACTCACCTGAATCAACCAAACAGCATTCTCACTATAAATGCCATTGTTTATGAACCAACTAGCTAATTGATCCCATTCACTTTGTTTCCTTCCATAAACTGAGATTCTATATTCAGCCATCTGAAAGAAAGAATAGATGGTGTGGCACTCTTAAGACAAATACATAGATAATAATGAATCAAGAATTTTTGGAAAAAGTATGTATTTGCAGGCAGCAATCACTACCCAGATGCTTCTAACAGTAGGTGCCAACCAAATTAAAGATGGGAAGAGAACAAAACAAGGTATATAGCCACACCTGGTATTTACTTGCTTCAAGATCTGACAAGACTTCCTTTGTCACTTCACCTAGGAAGCGACCTGAAAGAAGAACACAGATACTACGCTTGATTAAAAAAACTTTTGTGGGGTGGGGGTGGGGGGTTGCAATCCCACTTATTATCAAGTACTCCGTAATAGTAATTTGCTAAGTTTGGAACAACAAGGTGTCCATATTATAGGCATCATCATTTTTAAGAACACATAATTGATGTATCTCAGGACACTGATCCTGGCTGTCATCAAGACAAACAACATTACTATTTACTACAGTATGATGCAAATCTACATGTTACTAGCGTCTATGCCAGATATCTCATACACGATTTAAATAGATAGATTGCACATGCATGAAAGCAGTATGCACAGTTCTGGTTATTACTATGTGTGAGAAAATATGTCAAGATATTCACAGCCACCTTCTTTCCACTGTAACAAAATAATTCATAAAGGATCAAATCTAAAAAAGAACATATACAGAGCAAATTACAGGAAATCCATTTTAATCCACTCTCTTTGAGGTTGGCAGTGGAGTTTGAAGTTATTTCTATTCTGGACTATTTTGAAAATTACTCCATACAAAATAAAACTCGAAGTAACTTTTAATACTTAAAGTTCACATCATTAAGAAATAGACCTTGGATAAGGTTGTCCTGCTTGAGAAAGATCTCTCTGAGTCTGCTTTGTCCACAAGGATTATACTTGAGGTTGAATTTATCAAAACGATGGAATGTACTCTTATCAGCATGAACATCCAGCAAATCAACATTAAGATCATGCCTGCAATAATTAGAACTTATAAGTGGGACAACTGAAAATTAATGCATCCCCCTCTTTCCAGTGTAAGAAGTAAGAATAAAGAACCAACTCAATACAAACCCTGTTAAGTCCAAACTCTCAAAGACTTCCTTCAGCGTAAGATACTGCCCATCACGAAATATAACAACCTGTAGAACAAGTAGCAAGAGTTAAGTACACAGAGGACCAACAGAAAGAAAATACTCTATTGAACTTTAGACTGACTGAGGTTAAGCAAGCTTAAAAGGATTATCTGCAATACACCAATACCTCATCAGGTTCTTTTTCTAGTTTTGACTTGATGAACCGGAGGAGGTGCTTCTGGTTCATACAAGCAGAATGATGCACGTGGGTATCAACTTTTCTGATGTTGTAGAAATCACGATGAGGTGCACTCTTTTGTGCTAAAAATTCCCTATCAGCATTTACTAGCAAATGGAGGCGAAATTTCTGTCACATATTCATAAGGTATGAGATATCTGAGATGAAAGACAGATGCAATCATCTAAGATCATTCTTATGAAGTATTACCTCCTCAAGCAATCGCAACCTATGATGACAAGCAGTACGAACACTACCAGCAGCCATCACTTTTAGAAGATGGTGCATATCAGTGAAAAATGTTGTCGAGTTTGCAACAGGAAAAAGTTCTTCAGTATCTAAAACATCACATTTAAAAAAAACAAAAAAAAAACAAAAAAAAAAAACAAAAACAAAAACAAAAAAACAAAAACAAAAACAAAAAAACAAAAAAAAAAAAAAAACAAAAAAACAAAATGATGTTTAAATGACAAGAAACCAGATGGTACATGTAAATATGAGTACAGTAATAGTTTGGTTATTTAGATCCAAAAAAGACTAACCATTTTCACTGGCATAAACACGAACAACTCCATCCACCATCTTAAAATGGTGCTGCATGAAAATCAAAGAAAATCAATTAGTGATAAATGTTTGAGATGTCAATGTACCTTCACACGACATACCATACAATAATCTACAACTCAGAAGTGTGGCCAACTATAGCCATTGATGGGTTGAAGTGAAACTCACACCAGTTGCTTCACAAGGAACAAACTGAAACGGATTCTGTTTGACATTTGATTCTCCAGAAGTTGCCTTCATCCACGGAGCAATATTTTCTTTGAAAACATACTTTTTTCTCAAATATAAACTTTCACGGATCATCTTCAAAACCTCCTCCTCTTCAATGTTAACTGGCTCTGGTTTCAGAATTTTGACAAGTGTAAGAAAATGAATTTTTTTTTCTAACCCAAACTGAAGCCTTTTTAATACTTAAACTAAAGTAATAGCATTATATTGCCAAACAGCATGATGATTTTAAAAAAAAAATTAAAAAAATTAAAAAAATTAAAAAAATTAAAAAAAAAATTGAATCAATAAAAACCTACAACACAAACAGCATGTGTGTGTGTGTGCTCCACTTAAAAACTCAAGTGAGTTTATTTAAAATTTGATTTTTAAAAGTACCTCAAACCAACATTCTTAGGGGTAAGAAGGAGAGTATACCATGCATTGTAGTCACTTGAGGTAAGATACCATTTACGAAGACATGATCAGTCACCTTAATGTGTCCCGGAACTGCATCCACCTTTCTATCGTGATGGTCTACATTAGTTTTTGCATCATCGGTAATTTCTTTATGTGGTTGACCGTGAAGCTGATTACCATTTTCTGCTTGTGATTCGATGATTGAGATATTTTGAACAGTTGGACTGTTATCCTGAAAAGGAATGGTTTTGAAATGCAGTAAATTGAATAGTGGTTAGCTCTTGTTGTAACATTTGTTGTTTCACAGGTATCAAGATAAGCAAGCTTCAAATAATTCAATACAGATTACTGTAATTATAATGTCTTAATACAAAAATTATTAAATTATACTATACTGTATTACAAACCAAGTAGCCAACACAAAAAAGGTGTGGCTTCTTCTGAATCAATATCATGTGAGGAATTGTGAAAAAAGGAGTGGACTGGATTACTTTAAAATTTAGCAAGACGTAACAATCTCAAGCAGTTCAGCGATCATTCTAGTTGATACTTGATAGAAGATATATGAGTTTCAATAATGGTCATATAGGGTTTTTTTACCATGTTGCAATCTGAGGCATGACTTATGACTTATCTATACAAATAAATAATACTGTATAAGCATATCATGTCAAATACAATCATATCTAAGTCCACTTTTTAAAAAGTAATTTATATCTTATTTTTGTTATGGTTGATTAATAAGCCTCATTAAATGAACATGAGCAAGACACCATACACATCAAATTACACTGCAACAATCCACTGCCAACCAATGTGACGATACATAAGGCAAGCATATCATCAAATAGCAGGGAACTCTTTCAACTTCAACTCAAAAACTTACATTCTCATAGAGGAATTCAATATCCTCTTGAGTGAATTCAGTTTCTTCATCATCCTGGAGATCATCATCTAATGAATAAATAATTGAGGATTTTGGAGTCATTTGCCTACCAGCTGAGCCCAGAAGCATCTTCCTATCAAAACCATCATTGTGTTGGTTCTCCCCTATACCACAGAGAGTTGAGTCACAAATAATGCAGCACTCTAAATTACATATCACATCACACAGTCGCATATGATAGATTTCAAGCTCAAACATTAGGTATGCTAGCCCAGACATATACTGTCACATATTTATGAGTACAAATGATGCCATTGCTCAGCTCTGTTGATTTTCTTTCAAAGGTCCATCTACTATGGATGACTTTAAAAAACATATTCCCTCTATTATAATAAGAAAGGAAAGGCCATATGAGAGCACTTGTAAGATCAACATGAAAAACCTTGTGGAGCTAGAGATCTCCAGCAACTGCAAGAGTGCAAAATAATCTCAGTTTTTCATTTATGCGTCACCTTCTTCAAGTCCTCACTCCCTTTCCTAGCTATATGCCTTAGCACTTCGAAATTTACAATGCAACCAAAGTATAATAGTAAATACCTACATATTTAGTACTTAATTCTCTGGATTGTGCATAGTACAGGCTATTCTCACACAATATGGAGCAAGCTCTTAAATCCCAAAAATAGTAACGTCCCTTTGGAATTGAAATTTATGTAACCCACCAAATTATTGTCAGTTTTATTAATTGAAACACGATACATGATAATTTCTAATTTCAACGGGAATTAACAGCAAGATTTTTCAAAGCACAAATAAAAGATACCTACCGTCTGGGTTATCCGTTCGCAGAGGGGGCAAACCAGAAGGTACCGTACTGAGCTCCATCAGTTCAGCCGGGAACGCCTTATCTCCATATTGCGACGGCCGATCAAGTTTCGCGTCCTCGTCCATCCAGTCGTTCGGAAGGCGCGTGTTAGGCATGGATGACGACACTCTGTATTTCCGCAGCACCTTATCGTCGCAACAGGAATCATCCTCATTCTGAACAACGGTTTTCGGCAAACTCTGATGGCTCCAGATATTCCTATCGTTGACGTCCTCGGCTTCACCTTCGTCATCGGTGCCGGATTCCAGAGCAGATGCGGCGGAGGACAGCGGACGCTGGTGGCGGACGAGCTTGATTAGGCGGTCGAGAGCTTGGTCGAGGCTGCGCTTGTGGAGGTAGAAGGCGGAGATTGCCATCACCGATGCTCCGAAGAAAGCTGCTAGAGCTAATTGCGCTTTTGACGCCGGTGCCGTGGACGACGACGACGACGAAGAGTCCATCTCTCTGCGCGCGTTTCGTATCAGTGAAGCGAGGTCGTTTCAGTCTGGTATACGCTGGGTTTAGGGAGGGTTTACTATGGGCCCGGTACCGGATACGGGTTTCAGAATTCAGAGGGAGCAAAATGGTTATCCGGACTCCGGAGCTCAGTGATAGACTGATAGGTAGCCAAATTTTATTATGGAAAATGTACTATGTAGCAACATGGATCATATGTCTCATTTACACTTTAGTTTCATTTGATAATATAAACAACTTCCCTACTAATGCTAAAAAAACTTGATTCTTAGACTGTTTCACAAATTTGAAGTTGAATTCGTTGGATGAATTTAACGCTTATTTAATATCATTGAAGAATTGATCAAACGTAGACGACTAACTTTGATTGAAAAGTCTTGCACACCACCTGAGTATCTATTTTCAACATTCCGTTCATTGACAATATATCCATCGAGTTGAACTGCAGATGCTCTTTTTCATTATCATCTTTGTCACCCAAGATGAGGTTCACATACGTCATTACTAACTTTTATATTTCACACTTATGAAGAAAATAACTCGCCAAAAGAAACGAGAGTAAAGCAAACTCGTCACACAAATGAGAGAAACACAGAGAAAAAACACAGACAAATACTGAACATAAAAGAAAAGGGAAGTAGCAGTACACCTCCTCTTGAACTTTATTTTACGAATCCACTAAAATCAAACCACCTCTTTATCCAGATATAATTGAATCCTTGAACTTTTGAAACTTTGGAATTTGCGCAATTTCATTGAAGGGTTGGTGGTTGAATCGACAGTAGAAGTTATAGAACTAAAAAAAAAAAAAAAATTAAAAAACAAAGGGCCGGCCAAGGACCCGCCGACACAAAGCTCCGTCAAAGCTTCGTCCAAATCTAGCCAGAGGCCGGCGGCCAAAAAAGAGGCAAGGTTTGGAGAGACAGAAGAGAGGTTTTACACACTAGTTTCATTATAACAATACCAAAGTATCATTTTAATTATATTACAGTTTCCTTTGACAATACACATTATTACATGAGCTCTATTTTTTGTTTCATTTTTCACAAATACTAGTTTCATTATAGTAATACTGAAGTATTATTTTAATTACACTTCATGTTCATTTGATAATATATGTTATTGTATGACTCTGAATTTTAGTTTCATTTTTCACACACACTAGTTTCATTATAGTATCACAAAAGTATCATTTAAATTATACTACATTTTCATTTGACAATAATTTGTTCTGTTTTTTAGTTTCATTTTCTAGAGTCCAGACACACTAGTTTCATTATAGTAATACTAAAATATCATTTTAATTTTACTACATTTTCATTCGACGATCATGACCCACACAATACTGTATGAGCATGGTCCAATGTATAACAATTGCTGATAGCTAATAGGTAGGGCATATATAGGTATCACAGTTTGATTCCACTTTGATTTAGTATAGTTAATTGGTTCAAAAGGTGGCACGCTAACAACTTGTTTGTTTGGTCGATACTCCTTATTTTGATGCATATATCTTGACTAATATTTAGGTATTGGTCGAATTTATAATTAATTAACTTTTGTGATGTAGTTAATTGTGTGTTTGTATCATATTTTTAATTGAATTTGAGTTGTATCGACATAGTTTGATTCTAAAAAAAGAGTTACGGAGTACTTGTTAGTGTTAAAAAAAAAACAGTAGATTGATTGGATCATAACGCAACCCACCTTCATTTCTCAAGTTTTTTTCATAATTTGGCCATAAGATTCATAAAATGATCAAAGACGGAGCCAAAGGGGGCAGCTGCCCCCCCTCACCCTACCCCCATCCCATATATAATATTTGTATGTATATATGTATATATAGTATAGATTTTAGTATTAGTATAAAAAAAATTAGTAAATGTCAACAAGTAAGAAGTTAGATTAGTTGGTATGTAGAGCATTGTTTGGAATAGGGCTGTGCAAAAACCGACCGACCCGAAAAAACCGACCGACCCGAACCCAAATATACGCCCTTTGAGGGAATCCGAACCCGAACAAGGATACCCGAACCGAGAACAGTCCACAAAGCCGGTTAGAACGAGGCGGGTTGGGGGTTACAAAATCCCCCCGAACCCGTCCGACAACCCGAATTAGGGTAGGACTTCGTATACCTTAAGGTATACGACGTCGTGTAAGCGGTGTATATATGTTGCCTTAGAAGGAAACCCTAGTCATTTGCGCAGCTTCCTCGTCTTTCTTCTGACTTCTGAGAACTCTCTAGACTCGTTCTCTCATGAGTCTCGTCTTTCTTCTCTGAAATCTGAAACCCTAGTTAGTTCTTACTTCTTTCTTCTCCACTCTCCAGTTCTCTGACTCTGTGAGACTCTGAGTTCTCTCGTTCTCTCTGAGTTTCTTCTAGAGTTGTAGACTTGCTCAGTTAGAGACTGAGAGTGTGAGTCTCCGGTGGAAGCTAGCTAATATTGTTCGGTGGAAGCCCTATTCTGGACGACCGGTGGCCGGTGCGGTGGATTGTAATTGTTGTCATGGTCTCACGGATTTGAAGCCCTTTGTTCTAGGGGGTTTGGTTTGGAGAAACGAAGTAATCTCTAAACCCTAATCTTAGACATACTTAGATTATACTGTTATATATTGTGATACGTTGTTGTTAGTTGTGATTCTATGATTCTGATGACTGTGACAATGTGAATCTGTTGAGAAGTTCCAGGTTGCATGTCATTTGTCCCTTATTTGTGAATTTTTGATACTTTGATTAGGGTTTCTATGATTCTATGGACTGTGATTTTTTAGAATCACTTAGTTGTGATTGTATGATTTGTCTGTATTGTTTGTGGAAGCCCCTAAGTCCTTAACCTCTGTTGGCTGTTGGATGTTGCCTATGTTGGTGAAAATGGTGGAAGCCCCAATTGTAACTACCAAATGTGAAATCCAGTAAAATGATGAATGTACACTTCAGGTTTTCAGGTTCCTGATTTCTGGATTTCTTTGTCACTTTGTGTGATTAATGTGATACTGTGATTGTATCCCTGTATGCCTGTATGTTACGATAAGTTTATGGATGTATGACCCTTAATAGTTAATTCCTTAAAGTCCCAATTATGAAATTTAGAAAAATGATGAAGTTATGAAGTGCCTGTCTTCTGATTCTGGATTTCTCTAGTTCTCTTAGTTGTCTGTGACTATCTGATTTTGTTCAATATGTTTCCCACTTTGTGGTGACCACTATACTGATAGTATTCCATTTACTTAGATGGAAAATATCATAGAGTCTGGAAGTCAACCTTCTAAATCTTCAATTGATGGGTCTACAGTGGTGGAAGCCCAAACTGTTGACACAAATAATCAACAGAATGTGCAACCTACTACTACAGTTCCTGAGAAGAAGATGAAGATTGTTGAGTCCAGATCACCAGTGTGGGATCATTATGAAAAAATTAAGGATAGTAATGGTGTTACTATCAAAGGCAAGTGTATATATTGTGCCAAAATTTATCAATGTCAAGCTACAAAGCATGGTATTACCTCCTTGAGAAACCACATGTTTAGCTGTCTGAAAACCCCCACTCTAAAGACACTAGACAATCACTGTTAACCTTTCAAGCTATTACAAATTCTGATGCATCTCCTCCTACTGTTGGTGAGTTAGGAACTTGGGTCTTTAACCAGGAAGCTATTAGGAGGGCCTTGGTTGAAATGATTATAATAGATGAACTACCTTTTAGATTTGTGGAGGGTCCAGGGTTTAGGAAGTTCATTATGGTGGCTTGTCCTAGGTTTAAGATTCCATCTAGATGGACAATTAGTAGGGACATCAATCTGATTTATGAAGAGGAAAGATTGAAGTTGAAATGTGTTTTTAGAGGGAACACTCAAAGAGTCAGTATTACAACTGACACTTCGACTTCTATTCAGAGAATTAACTACATGGTAGTGACTGCCCATTTTATAGATGAAGAGTGGAAGCTTCATAAGAAGATTATCTCATTTGTCCCTATTACATCACATAAGGGTGAGTCTGTTGCAAAAGTCCTTGAAACCTGTTTGCTTGATTGGGGGATTAGGAATGTGTATAGTATAACAGTAGACAATGCTTCATCTAATGACACTGCTATAGGTTTTTTAAAAAAGAAATTGATGTCTTGGGGAACATCTACTGTGAATGGCAAGTATATTCACATGAAATGTATTGCCCATATTCTGAACCTTGTTGTCCAAGATGGCCTGAAACAATGTGATGCTTCTGTGAAGAAGGTAAGGGAGGCTGTAAGATATGTGAGGAGTTCACCTTCTAGACTTAAGAAATTTAGGGACTTGGCTGAGTGGAATGGGATTGAACAGAAATCTTCTTTATGTCTAGATGTTCCAACCAGATGGAACTCTACATATCTTATGTTACAATCTGCAATTACATATGAGAAAGTGTTTGAGTCACTTGAAGAAAGTGATAGTTCCTTCAAATCAGATTTGTCTGATTCTGTTCCTAATTTTCTTAATTGGGAGTCTGTGAAGAGTTTGGTGGAGATCTTGAAATGTTTTTATGAAATGACAATAAGAATTTCTGGTTCTTCATATGTCACTTCTAACACTTTCTTTTCTGAAATTTCTGATTTATACTGCATCTTGAATGGAATGGTGGAAGCTGGAGGGTCTGTGAAACTGATGGGAGAAAATATGAAGGCTAAATTTGAGAAATATTGGGGGGATATAGATAAAATGAACTTGATGATATTCTTTGCAAACATTCTAGACCCCAGAGACAAGTTAGAGTACATGGCAACACAGATGAATCACATGTATGGTGAGGTAAAAGGTAAACCCTACTATGAGAAAGTGATTGCAGCCTTGAAAGAGTTGTTTAATGATTATGTTGCCTCTACTCCTGCCTCTACTCCTGCTTCTTCCACTACTGGTTCTGTCAGTACTCCTACTGATTTTTCACAGTCTACAGTTGGGAGGCCCCAACATTTGTTAAAGTCACAGATTAAGAAACAAAGATTGGAGAGTGGGGGAATGAAAAAAACTGAGTTAAAAATTTACCTTGCTGAGGCAATAGTTGAAGAGGAAACTTCTTTTGACATACTTAGATGGTGGAAGTTGAATGCTGAAAGGTTTCCTATCCTTTCTAAGATAGCTAGGGATGTTTTAGCTATACCAATATCTACTGTTGCCTCAGAATCTGCCTTCAGTACATCTGGGAGGGTTTTGGATCCTTTTAGGAGTTCATTAACTCCTAAAATTGTGGAAGCTTTGGTCTGTACTCAGGATTGGCTTAGGCTACCAAATACCCCCTTATCAATTGAGGAAAATCTGGAGGAATTAGAGAGATTTGAACAAGGTAACACAGTCTATTCTAATTTTTTTTTTACAATTTGTTATTTCCTTATAATTTTTACATTCTATTCTAATTTTTTGTTGTTGCAGAAATTGGTACTGATGGTGGCAGTGGAACTGGAAGGAGTGGTGGTTCTACACTTGCTACAATTCCTGTAATGCTATGCTTTGTACTTTATACTTTATACTGCTGTTTCTGTTTGAATGTACTTTATACTTTAGGTCTGTTTGCCTGTTATTCGTGAGGCTTGCTTGCAGCTGGCTTGGTAACTAATTTAATTAGTTGCTGCCAATTGCCATTGTAAGTTGTTACATTGTTGATAAGTTGACACATTTTACTATTTTATTATGTTTTATACTTTTATTATATTGTGGCCATGATGAAATCTTCCACCAATGCTTTGAATAATAAGGGATTAAGCTGGTATGTTGCTCCATCCTCATGGGGATGTTGTAGCAATTTCCCCTTAATCCTAACTTTGATATGGATAAAAAGCTTACTGAGCCAAGTTTATAATTGTCTAATTATATTCTGTTGCTCAATAATGCTATGGTTATTTTTGCTATTTGGCTTATTGCTAACTTTGCTTAAGTTTTGAGTGTTTACAGGAAGATGAAGAACAATAAGAACTAGGAAGACTAGGAACTACATTGAAATATTCAGTACTTTTTTTGCATGTAATTGCAAGGACAATTTATTTACTTAATTGCATATTCAGTAGTTTTTTGGAATGTAATTGCAGTTAGAGTAATCTGTAATTGCATGTATGTGTAATATTGCAGATTCACAATTGACTGGAAAAGTCATTTTTGCATTGCATGTAATTTTGTAATATTTTATTAACTTTTTATATTTAAAGTGTTTTGTTCAATTTTTTAGTTATTTCTTTAATTTCATTAATATCCTACAATCCGAAATTAATTCGGATATCCGACCGAACCGACCCCAACCGATATTTAGTAAAACCGAATAGATTTCTTAAATTATAAAATGAAATAGGGTTTACATAATAATATCTGAAATCCGAAAGGGTTGCCCATCCGCCCACCCGAACCGAACCGAACCGATCGATGCACCCCCCTAGTTTGGAAATAAGAAAGGCCTTGGGTTCAAATCTTTGCATTAATGTATTTTATGTATTTTTGAGTCCTTCCCCTATCGCTTCAACATAGCCACTTTTTTAATATTTAACACACACACACACATATTCTTTTATATTAATAGTGAGATGTGTAATTTATAATGTGTTTTCTATTCGAATTATTTTATCAAATTAATTATGTTTCATATTTTGTTATGAATATTTTTATAAAGTTTCGATGTGTTTTATTTTTCGCCTACATATCCAACAATATTTACAACTATATTTCTTAGGTAATGGTTATAAAAAAAAAAAAAAAAAATCTTAGGTAATTTTTTTTAAAATTATATCTTTTGTTTTAATGTTTCGCTTTTATTGAAAAAAAAAATTATGAATCCGTTCTACTTCTTCCCCCCCACCCCCCCCCCCCCCACCCCCAATCGAATTTCTGGCTCTGTCCCTGAAAATGATAAAACAATATCTAAAATTCATAACTAATGCTTGTATAGACATGTTAAATGGGTTGGCTCACTAAGACACGAACTTTAACAAGTTCTTAATTAGTCAATGTGTTAATAATCCGGGAGAGGAAATTTCAATTTTGGTCCTATGACTATAGGGGTGTTGTTAATTTCAATCTCTGACTTTTAAAAGTGTCAATTTAGTATCTTAACTATGTAACTTTTGTCAATTTTGGTCACTCCGGCCAAATTACCGGCCAAATTTCGCCGGAAAATTTTAATTGTTAAAATAATGACGGTATTTTGATCATTTCACGTCTCTTTTCTTCTTCCCAGGCGAGTCCATCCCTTCCTCTCCCGTTTCCGACGAAAGAAATGAACTAAGATGATGGGGAAAGGAGGCTTGATGATATTAAAGATAGGGTTTACTGGGAGAAAGAACGCCGGAAACAGGAGAGAAAGGGATGGACTTGCCGGAGAAAAAGAAAAGAGGCATGAAACGACCAAAATACCCTTATTATTTTAATTATTAAAATTTTCCGACAAAATTTGACCGGCAATTTGCTCGGAGTGACCAAAATTGACAAAAATTGCATAGTTAAGGTACTAAATTAACACTTTTGAAAATCAGGGACTAAAATTAACAAGACCCCTATAGTCATATGACCAAAATTGAAATTTCCTCTAATCCGGGACATATTAAGACTAAATACTAATTCGTTACTTTCGTGTTTGGTTTCATGTCATGTCACAAATTGTCATGTCTAACTCTGAAAAATTATATCATGTATCTCAGAGCCCACCTTGTAAAGTGGACTAAGATATTATTTTTAGTATACCGCAAGTCATTTTTAGTATGCTAATTATATTTTGTACAAGTTAATTTTTAACATACTCAATAGTCACTTTTAGTGTATTATAAGTCAAAATAAATATATAGTACACTAAAAATAATCTTATACTCTGTATATATCAGAGCTTCATCTTATTACATGAACAATGGTCAATCATTATTGTGTGACCATAAATAAAAACTACATTACTTAAGTAGTTAAGTAGTGAAAATATTTTATTTTGGAGAAGAAACATTGTACTACTATCGGTTGGGCTTTAATGAAGAATAATGTGAACATGTTGCGCAGCCCATGTACTTTTGGTCTGTGAGCCCATTGGGCTATAACGGGATGTAATACAAATCAACGTCCTTTTAACGGCCCAAATCTAAATGGCCCAATAACGCCATCCGCAATTATTATTGTGTAGACCATAAATAAAAAATACATTATTTATGTATATAAAGTATATTATTTGAGTACCAAAAGTACATTATTTTATACATTATCAAATAATATGCATTAAGTACACAAATAATGTACTTTTAATATATTAAAAAAAATGTACCTTGTATTTAAAAAAAATACATTATTTGAATACTAAAAGTATATTATTTTGTATAATGTACATTCAATATACAAATAATATACTTTTAATATATTAAAATTATAAGTACCTTTTTATGGTCTAAACAAACTGTATGAACCATGATTCATATAGGCCCTGTTTGGTAAATGGCTGTTAGCTGTTAGCTGTTAGCTGATTGAGTTAATTAGAGATATAACTAGTTGATAACATTAGCTGATTGTAGAAAGGTGTTTGGTAAATTAACTGTTGATGATAGCTATTTGGTATAATTTTTTTCTCAAAAAGTTAATTGAAAAAGTTACTTTGAACAACTTTTAAAATTTTAGCATTTTTAAGTTACAAAAAACTAATTAACTAAAAATTTATATTGATTTTTTTAACTAAATCAAATAGCTAATAGTGATCAAATAACTTAAAATTAACTTGTAAATTAACTATTTTATCAAACATGACGATAATAATAATTTGCGAGGCATCCGATCATTGTCTTATCATACCGTATTCCACTTCCGGATTGGACTTTCCACATTTCATTTTCGTGTCTTCTTTTTGAAAAAATCATTCCGCAATAGAAACTAGAATGTTCTAAAAAGTAACGATAGCTGACAGGAAAGTTAGTACATTTAAAAATTCCCTAAATTAAAAGTTTATCAAAATATGAATTTTCATGATTAAAATTTGAAATGTTAGTGATAATACATTTATTAATCTATATGAGGTATACATTAAATAAATTTTATAGGTGTAATAGTTTGAAATTACAAAAAAGAAGATAATTATGTTTTTTTTTTTTTGTAATAGGCTGCAAACCATACATAAGAAGTAAAATATATTAAGAAGATCTATCATATGCACCAGACTTAATCGAAAAGGGTATTGGTAAAAATCAAACTGATGACGCTCATATAGAGCATATAGTGAATTGTGTTAGTAATTTTAAAAGTTTGGTGAGATTGTAACTATAATATTGTTACGCTAACAAGACACTTGTAACATGCGATAGGGATTATTCAGTTAGGAATAAAATAGTAAAGATTGATCTGATCAAGATAATTTTATAAAAAAAATTTCAAAAAATTAAGGTGAAAACTTGTGTGAGGCTGTCTCACGGAATTTTGTTCGTGAGACGAGTCATCTCAAGATAAAATGTAATTCTTATACTAGCAAATGTAATACTAAGGGTGTGTTTGGTTGGTGGGTTTTGCCCATAGGAATGAGTATGAAAGTGATTGTTGTTGTTTGGTTGATAGGTTTTTAGAACAGTATTATGGGTTTCGAATACCCCATCAATTGAAAAACTCATACCTAAATACAATAAGGGTTTCATTCCCTTATTCATTCTCAAGCACTACTATTAGTAACCATTCCCATTCCACCCTACTACCAAACATGGTAAATACTTTCATCAAAACTCATTACTATTACCAAGTATTTGATACTCATTCCGATTCCGATTCATATGTGCGAACCAAACACACCCTAAATTATGAATAGCCAAGCACATTGTGCTCAGATAGCATGTAGTGACCTCTCCCATGTCGGAGGTCATGAGATTGAATCTCAGAGGAGGTGTTGTTGACTCTTTGTGCTCAGATGATGAGAAAGTATGTTTGAACAGATACTACTTATACTAGCAAATGTAATACTTTTACATTTTGATGTAAAACTATATTATATTTTTCATTAAAA